ATCTGGCTTGTGATGTGGAGAAGGCAACATTCGGTCTCTTATCGATTGCTGGTGATATGGAGCCCGGAACAGGCACTGAGAGGAAGTTTTTTGAAGAAGTGGTTGAGTTTGGATAGGTGCAAAAATGGAGAAGCAGGGTATCGATCCCTGTACCTCGCGCAAAATGGGATTGACGATGGCAGGCTTACTGACGTACAACCATTTAGCGACAAGGTCCGTGGGAGGGGCAGATTGGAATGCTTTGCTTTTGATCTACAAAATACTTGGTTTTGAATCCCTACGTGCTCACGGCTCTCTCGTCGCTTTCTTATGTGCAACGCCACTTTCCGTCACCATCCATGCGGATGGACGGTGCTTCGAGCCATTACGGTCCAACGGCATATCTGGAGTCCACTGGGGTGTCGCGTTCATTATCCAATTCTATACAAACAGTAGTACTTGACGTGGCAGAGACAGAGGACAGCGTTATGATCCCTATGGGCTGGTGCAACCAGGGTTCCTTCCAACCAGACTTATAGCCGCTGGCTTTTCCAGCTCTCTGCGTCTTACAGTGCTCGTGTAAATGAATTTGACTGGCTTTGTTTCACCAGATTGGATCCAAATCGTAAAACCCAAATTGGGCTCGGTCGTTTCGGGTCACCTTTGTATCTTGAAGCGGCGCAGACTCGTGGGTTTCGCAGCATGAACGCAAGCAGCGTCGTGACGCCGGTGCCGGACACGGCCGAGCCCAAGGCGGCCGACGAGGCGCGGCTGCCGGCGCTCGCTGCCACAAAGCCGACAGTCACCGATGCAGAGCTCGATGACATGCGGGCCAAGATCCGAGTGCACATTGGAGAGTCCATTCGCGTGGCGCGGGCCCAGAAACGGCGGCAGCATCGGCGCATCTGCGGCCTCTCGCGCGCCGACGTCTTTGAGTGGGTGCGGTCCGTGCTCTGCTGCTCGGACGTCGACGCCGCGACGGCGACCGACGATTCGGACGCCAAGATCCTCTCGACCAAGAAATTTCTCGGCGGCGTCGAAGAGTTTGCTTGCCTCACGGACCGCGAACTCTCGCAGCTCGCGCGCCTCACAGAATTACGCACCTATCGACGGGACGACGTGGTCTTGCTCAGCGAGGACAAGGCGGGTACGACCATGACGCTGTGCTGGGCTGCCATGGACGGTATCTTTGCCTGTGGTAGATGGTCTGTACATCATTTTGTCGGGCAAGGCGTCGCGCTGCGTGCTGAGCGAAGGCTCGATGGACATGGCCATTGAACCCGAGATGCTCACGTACCAGGAAACCTTTGGCATGGACGTCTCGCCCACCATCGACAAGGACGCAGAGACCATCGAGACTAGCATCACGGCTGGTACGCCGACCCATCACCTCTCCTTCCTTCCTATTGATACGACTTGACTAGTGTCGCCGGAGCTCGAATGTCTCTGGCTGCCGACGCTGGTGATCCACATGCTAAATTTGCAGCCGCGCCTCGAGTACGAGTTTGTGCTTATTCTCAAAAACACCGAAGACATTACCGATACCGAGTACAAGCAGCAGGAGACGATCCTCTCGAGCATCCTCCAGGCGGGTATTCACGTGACCGTCATGGCCAACTCGCGCAATACGACCGACAAGATCATCTTGCTGCTGAGCGCGCCCTTGTGGCTCCTCGCCCGCGAAGACAAGCTCATGAAGATGGAGCGCATCATCGAGTACCACTCGGAAGAAGACGTATGCCAGCACTACGGTCTTATGCCTGAACCGTATTTTGTAGGCCAAATCCCTCGGCGACGAGTACGGGGCGAACGCCGAGGCGCTGACCGCCGCCGATCGGCTCTCTGCGTTTGCGTCCATCTTGACACGCCCCGCGACCGACAAGCCGCCAGGCGCGGGTCTCCGTGGCATTGAGAACAACCAAGACTCGATCATCCACGACGTCTTTCCGCTGCACGACCCAAGGTACATATACATTTCCGATGTGGTACTATCGCACGTGGCTCACAAAACGATGTAGCATGTCGGACTTCATCACGTCGTCGTGGTACAAGGAGGCGCTCTCGGCGTCGACGCGGCAGCTGTTTTTGCTGCGCACGAAGGACCATTTTGGCTTGCGCATCGCCTTTTACACGGCGTTCATCCGCCTCTACTGCGCGTCCCTGAGCATGCCGTGCATCGTTGGCGTCCTCCTCTGGGTGCTCTGGCGCCACATTGACTACACGTCGTACATGCAGGCGATGGGCATCTACGGCCTCCTCGTCGCGCTCGTTTGGGCGCCGAGTGTGCTCAAGCGCTGGACGCGCTACCAGTACTCGCTCCTCGTCGAGTGGGACCTTCTCCAAGCCAAAGAGGTCGAGTACCCCAACCCAGAATTCAAAGACTTTGTCGTCGAGACCATCAACGTGGCCAACGAAGACGACGCACCCGACTATGTGGACGTCAAGGTCTACGACAACCGGCGCCGGTACCCCAAGTACATTTCGTTCTTTCTCTTCTCGCTCGTCTCGTGCGTGCTCCTCTTTGGCTTTGTCATGCTCTATGCGCAGTGGTACATTGTGGCCGTCATGACGCCGCTCTGCGTCGACCCGCGCTGTCCCGTCTACCTCAGCAACAACCTCTGCGAATCGCAGTGCCAGTCGCTCGTGGTATCGGACGAAACGTTCAACTTTTTACACCCAATTCGCAGCTCGCCCTTGGGCTGCGCTGGCTACTGCAACACGTCAACGTTCGATGCCGCGTACTATAGCTGCGACACGCCGCTCGTGGGCTGCTTCAACACCGAGCGCGGCATTGTCGGCACCGCGCGCTGGACGTACGTGCTGGTGCAAGGCATTGTGCTCGGCTTGACGCTTGACATAATCTTCCTCGCGGTCTTTGAGCTCATTGCGTCCGTCTTCAACAAGTGGGAAAACTACGCGACGCTCCAAGAGTTTGAGCGCCGCTACATTGAGAAGATCTTTCTCTTCAACTGGGTCGGGTACTTTTACTGGTTCTTCCTCCTCGCGTTCCTCTACACGCCGTACGGCGACGAGGTCCAAACGTATATTCGCAACAATATCGATACGATCGGGTGGCTCACAGGCTACGGCAGCCTCAAGTTCAGGTACATTGTGTCTTGTTCAAATATTTAGATGGCTCATGAATATGAGTCTAGTCGGTACTGGACCAAGGGATTGGTCGCGATGGATTCTGCGTTTGTGACACCGCTCATTGTGACCCAGGCGCTCAACCTCGTCATCAATACGTTCGTGCCCTACTTGCTCCGACAGGCTGTCATTGGGGCGCGGGACCGGTATCTTGTCGGCAAGGACCAGCTGAGTCTCCAAGCCGCCAAACTCAAAAACAATTTCAAAGCGCAGCAAGCGGTCCTCACGCATGGAGTGGCGCAGACGACCCAAACCGCGGCCGCCAACGTTCGGCGCACGAGTCGCCGGGCGCTCGCGCTACTTCGCCGCGGTCCGACCAAAGTCCTCGAAATGCCCCACAACGAGCCCAACGTCCACGACGCCGACGAGCTCAACGAAATGGAGAAGGAGGAGCTCGCACAGCACTTGGCCGAGAAGAAGCCGATCAAAGCCGGCGACGTCGAAGCCACGATCGAAGGCCTCTTTGCCAATTTGTCGCGTCACCAGAACCGCATGAGCCAGATCTGCTTCAACATTCGCCGCGACGAGCTCGATGCGTACCAACTCACGAGGTTGTCTTATTCTCCATCACAATTATAACTGTTCGAACGATCTATACTAGCTACGATTGGATCGACAAGATGACGCAAGACATTGAGCACAACAAGCGGCACGACAGCATTTGGGAAGACCCGATGACGAAAGCGGCCAAGCCCGAGCAGCACGCGCTGCGCCTTCGGCTCATTAAGGATTGGCCCTGCCGCAACTACAGCTACACGGCCGACCGGATCCTCGAAGAGTCGAGCATGCCAGTGTACTCGCCATCCGGCGACCTCCTCCACATGGCCATCCAGTTTAGCTACGTGGTCATGTTTTCGGTCGTGTGGCCGTTCTGCGCCCTCTGCGCGTACTGCAACAACTGGGTCGCCCTCCGCTTTGACGCGATCAAGATGACGATCGACTGCAAGCGCGCGGTGCCACGCCGCAGCATTGGCATTGGGCCGTGGTACGGCGCCTTCATGTTTGAGACGCTCGTCGCGACGATCGCAGTGCCCGCGATCTTTGTGTACGTCACCGGTCAAATGGACTCGTATATCTGCGTGATCGATACGCTCAATTACGGCCCGGTCGACAATTGCTATTCGCTGCTGCAGCGTCTCTTGGCTTTTTGCTGCCTTGAGAACGCCGGCATTGCCATTTGCTTTCTCGTGTACCTCCGGAAGAGCAACATCTCGACCGAGACGTCCATCAAGATTCAAGAGCACTCGCGCCGCCTCAAGCACAACGTCCGGAAGAGTGTGCGCACGATTGGCGAGCACATCCTCGTCCAAGTCTACGGGCAAGGCCATCTTGGCGAGTGGCGCCAAGGCACCGTTGCATGGGTCAAGAACGGCCGCGTCAAAGTCAACTTTTACGCGTCCAACGGGTTTAGCAGCGACGGGCACTCGACCGAGCACGAAGGTACAACCACAAATTCAAAGTTATCGCCTCGAGGATCGACTGTGTTAGTGTGGCTCCAACACGAACGCTACGCACTCAAGAACCCGACGCCGGTGCGCATTTTCGAGGCGCAGATGCCCGTCTTGCTGGCGTCGACGACCAAAGGCCGGTGGCTCCAAGGTCATGTTGTGCACCTCGACACGGTCGATCGGCTCGGGAAGGAGCTCATCCACCACCCAAGCGAGATGCACTTGTCGATCCTCGAAGGTCGCAACTTGCGCTCGTACATGATGCGCAACGTCCTCGACCCGTACATTGTGTTGACGTGCGGCAGCTTCAAGCACATGACGTCCATCAAGCGCCATACGCTCAACCCGCTCTGGAACGAACACTTGATCTTTCCGCTGCATGAAAAAGAAGTTTTCAAATCGGACGCCAAGCCCGAGACGATCAAGCTCGTCGTGTACAACCACGACACGCTCTCGCTGGGCGAGTGCATTGGCGAAGGCGAGATCGATCTGAGTGCGCACCGGGACGGAACGAAGGCCAAAATCTGGGTCTCGCTGACGCAAAAGAAGAAGCTCAACATAGAGATGCTGGGCAGCGCCGTGCATAAAATGGCGATGGGCGACCCGCTCGAGCCGCAGATCTGCGTCGAGCTTCAATGGATCGACACGCGCTTGCCCACGAGCGTTCACGTGCAAGTGGACGCAGATGGCGCCGGCGCGCCGCCCCGCGTCCTCAACCGCAAGTTTTGCGAAAAGCGCCTCTGCTACGGCATCCAGCACGACGAGATCCTCCAAGGCCGCATCTTTAACGCCACCGACATGTAGATGCGTGTATAATGTATGTTGAATACCATTTGAATCCAAAGCTACTCGGTTTCTGCGCCGCGACCACAACGCGATGTGCGTGGTGGCAACTGTGGCATCAGTCCCAGTTGATCAGCCAAGTTGCTACAAGTGAGACAAGAAGGTTCATGCAAGTACATGCCGTCGTGTCGAAAGAGTATTTCACGTGCCTGTAGCCTTCCAGCATAAGTCGAGGGCGTTCAGGTCGGCCTTGTGTCGTTACAAGCACGCATCAATGAGACCACAACACCGAGTTTGACGCCGCAAGGCTCCTTGGACCACGCAGCGTCATCGTCGAAACCACAAACGACTGAGGCACAAGGACGTTGCTGTAGAGCTCCTTGTACGTGGTAAGCGCTTGGATTCGGAAGCTCTCATCAACGCAGGCCCACACAAACCTGGGGGGTGAAGCTCAACCTTGCGTGCGCTATATCGGATTTACCATATTTTATCGAGCGCCGACGTCCTTAATACAGTACTAGTCGAATAGTGTAGACCTCGGCAAGGGCAATGCTTGGCACTAAAGCGAGAACGGAACACACCTCGTTTCTTACAGCCCATCGGATGGTCCTCCACCAAAGCCTTGCATGCTTCGAGGAGCGTCAACGAGACAGAGACATGGGGTTTATTGATATTGTGAAGAAAAGCATCGAGTCGCTAGCTACAGTAGGTATTCTGTGTACACGGCGGCTACGGTTTGGCCGACGATCGCGCTTCGTTGGCTTTGGACGAGTCGCTGTGGCGCGGAGGCCCATGCATGGACTGTGTGTCGCTGAGACGCCGCCCGGTGCTGAGCTGGTCGACGCGCAGCGTTGCGATTTCGCGGACACTCGCCCCGGTGCTCGTTTGGTGTGTCGTCGCCTGTTTGTCGTCGGGCGCAGAGAAGGCAAACCCCTTGTAGCTGCGCATCTCGAGGTTGCGGACACCCGCCTTCTCGTCACCCTCGTTGTCAACGAACGACTGCGAGGCACCGGCCAGCCCCTTCCGGCTCGAGCAGTCCATGAGGCGCTGGTCGACCTTCTTGAGCGCGCTGCGTTCACGCAAAATGTTGGCTTCTGTCGGCCAGTACATGCGGTAGATGCTATATCACAATAATTAGATGTGACAACCTCGTTAAAGTTGTACCTCGTCAGGGACACATCGACGAGAATACCAGCGACGGGAACGAGGAAGAAGACGGCCCAGTAAAGATCCCTACCACATAGAGCACCATCAGCCATCTCTCACATCCACACGATAGACAATACGCGCCAAGCATGATGGGCGTCACGCCAACCATATCGGTGCCGAGGAACGTCAAGTACGGGTACACGAGGAGGAAGAAAAAGTAGAGGAGGATGCTGAAGGCGAGGACTGCGTAGCTGAACCGCGTCCAGCACAGCGTCTCCAAAATGACTTTGGCGTTCATCGTCATGAGCAAACCCGAGTAGATCGTCGTGCCTTGGAGGTAAAACGAGTGGGTCGCATACGCGGGCACAATGTAGAGCGGGATCCAAAAGCTCACAAAGGCGTGGTAGACGGCGTTGGCGATCCAGAGCAGAAAGCACTTGACGTTGAGGTCCTCGTTGCGCTGGCCCGTCGTGTACAGCGGTGGGAAGGCCAGCGCTTGCTCCGGGTTGACGTCTTGGTCAAACACACCGATCGAAATGATCGGCAACGCCAAAAAGAAGTTCCAGCCCGCGAGCACAAAGCTCTCAAAGAGCGACGAGCCGCTTTGGCCGTTGAAAAAGTTGAAGAGGAAGAGCACGATCACGAGCGACATGTTCTTGTAGAACGAGTACAAGATGACCTTGGCAATGCGCTTGTAGTTGCTCCGTCCGTGTACGAGCAAGAGGCGCTCGAGAAATCTAGTTACGAGGTGAGGATCCATGCCAAAGTCCACATCCAAAAATGGAAAAATCAACGTATCAAGTACCGAAATTGCGCGATCGCATAGTCGCTCGCATTCACGGCCTGGACACCTTCTTGACCACAGATACCGATGCCGACGTGCGCCGACTGGATCATGTTGACGTCGTTGGCGCCATCACCGATCGCGAGCGTGATAGGCTTGTTGACCGAGTTGAAGCGCACCTACCAGTGCAATATATAAATATAACTACTGCAGACCATAGAGCTAGGTACGAGGTTGACAATGTCGGCTTTTTGCGCGGGCGAGACGCGGCACGCAATGAGCGCTTTGCAGACGCTCGCAACAACCAGCAGTTTGCGCCGAAGCTCTTTGGCCGCAGCTTTCTCCGCGTCCGACTGCGTCGTGGCTTTGGCGGGAAAGAGGTGCACGAGCGACTTGCCATCGCAGACAACCGCCATCTCGTTGCTCACAGCTTTCTTCTTGTAGAGGTCTTGGATCGCTGGCATTTGAAACAAATAGTCAATCTAGTCCAAAGCGTCACCACTTTGTAAAGAAAAAAGATGCGACGTACCTGCGCCACGAGGTCGTCAATGTTTTCGCGGTTGACGTACAGCAGCTTCATGCCATCGTCGAGAAGCCGGCACGCGTGCCCGATGTTGACAGCGGTTTCCTCCTTGTCGCCGGTGAGAACCCAAATCTTGATGCCGGCCTGCGCGAGGTTGAAGATCGTGCGGGGGACACCAACTTGGAGTTTGTCCTCGATCGCGGTTGCGCCAACAATGTCCATGTCGACTTCGAGCTGCTCGGCCACATCGTCGAGCATCTGGTCCCGGTTCACGAGCGATGTGGCGGCCTCCTGGTACTTGACGTTCCACGCGTCGTACTCGGCAGCCGAGAGCTCGCGCTGCGCCAACACGAGCGTCCGGAGGCCCTCGGTCGCAAAGTCGCGGAGCTGTTCGTCGAGGTTGGCAGAGAAAGCGTCCTTCTTGCAGCGTGGCAGAATCACATTGTCAGCACCCTTGCACAGCAGGACGAGGCGGTCGTCGGGGAACTGGGCCACGACCGACATGCGCTTCCGCGTCGAGTTGAACTCGTTGACGTTCAAAATCGTGTACGCTTGCGTCTCGGCGGCCTGCCCCTTGCGTGTCACATCGACTTCCAAGAGCGGCGCTGGCGTCTTGAGATTAAAGCCGAGGCAGCGCGCGGCCTTGACGAGCGCCTCCTCGTCGGGCGACGATGCGCGGTAGTTTACAGCCCCCGTGGTCGCGTTCGCTTCCGGAATCACCGTGTGGCACACCGAGAGGAGCGTCAGGAAATCGCGAATCTTGTCCGCGTTCGGACCTTGCGTCGCAAGCTCGTGCACCAAGCGCGGGTCGTCAAAGTTGATGGTCTTGTCGCGGAAGATCTGAGCTGCCTCAATGTCCCCTTCGGGCTCCTTGGGCTTGAGCGACGACGAGGTGTCCTTCTTGGCGAGAAGCGCGACCGCGGCCGCGATTTCCGTCGACCCGTACCCGTAGACGATACCGCCGACCGAGCACTTGCGAAACTCCATGATGTTTTGCGTCAGCGTGCCCGTCTTGTCGGAGAAAATGTACTCGATCTGCCCGAGGTCTTCGTTGAGGTCGGACGTGCGCGCAATCGCGTGGAAGCCTTCGTGGCACATGTCCGGGTCTGACGAGATGTTTTTGGCTTGGGCCACCTAGTCGAGATGACAAAATGTCTATCAGTTGTTGGACAACTTGTCATGGCAGTATTACCTTGACCATGTCGAGGGAGACGTAGAGTGAGATGGGCACGAGGTTGTTGTAGAGGATGAGGAATGTGAAAAAGGCCGTGCCATCAGCCTCGATGAACGGCAAATACCACACACGTTGCTTGTAGTCCGAGACCCACGTGTTGAACGAGAGCGTGCTGATGATGCAGAGGAGAAACTAGGGACATGTCTCATAATCAGTCCAAACGACTAGGCGGCATGTACCTGTGTCAAGAAGATGAGCACGATGCAGCGGTTGACCATGCGGTAGACGTTGCTCTGCTTGGACGGCGTTGCGCGGGCGTTCTGCATGAGCTTGGTTTCCTTGCCCGCGAACAGCACCACCCCTAACCGCATTATCCAGCTGCTACGCGACACAAACAAGCCGTACCGAACACATAGGCGCAGCTTCGGATGCTGCAGCCGCGCAAGATAATGTTGTTGGGGCCGATGGGCACAGCATCGCCGGTCGACGCCGCTTGGATTCGCCCCGTAAAGTTATACAGGCGGTTGTTGGGCTGCTCGTACTCGATCGAGCCTTGGAACGCCGCGCAACTCGCCTTGTGCGCCTCTTCGTTCAGCACCGCCTAAAACATATCGACGTCGTTGACCATGACGCCAGCATTGTCACCGTACGTCGTTGAGACTGCGGAAGCCAACGAGTTTGGCAATCGGCTCGAGCGCGGTCCGGCGCTTCAAGTTCGTCTCGCCGTCCAAGTTGCACGTCTCGACAAAGCACCGGCCTTCTTCTTCCGACGTGGCCAAGATCAAAATGTCGGCGGGCAATTCATCCTTGTCCTTGACAAAGAGAATGTCGCCGACAAGCACATCTTGCCACTTTTTGCTGACGAGGTTGCCCCCCGTCGATACGACCTAGCACAAATTAGGCTTTCAGAAATATAAGGGAAGCGTACAGTGCAGAGGCGGCTGTTTTGGATCGCATCCGCATCATGCCGCTTCTTATCTTCATGTCCTTGCTTGAACATGGAGACGAGCAGCACAATGAGGAGCGGACCGGCCGTCGTGTACGGGTTCGTCGGCGACCACGAAGTGGCCAACTAGGCTGGCATGAATCTCAGCTACAAGATTTGGTGTATCGTACTTGAATGACGGAAATGAAGAGGAAATAGCCGTTGGCAATGACCCGAAAAAACTCAAAAAGCGTCTTGGGCACAAAGCTACCAAATATTGTCAATATTGCGTAGGGCGACAGGGACGCACCTCACGAGCGTGTACTTGGAGGTCGCGACCCAATTGGTCGTGTAATGCCCCTTGAGCCGGAGCTCGCGGTTCTTGGCCTCGTCGTTGAGAAAGATGCTGCGTGTGTCGGCGACCTCGAGCTTCGTCTCGCCGTTCGGGTGGACCGACATGACACTGTCCGTCATCCTCGTTTGGCTCTTGCAACGGTTGGTGCGGGGGCCTTGGATTCGACGAATGGCGACTCGACGCCTTGCATGTCGTGGGCTCGAAATAGCCTGAAACACACTCGCAAAAATAACAACCAAAATGGCTTGACGCGCTGAAACGCTTTTCACGTGGCGCTAGTCCACTCGTGAGAAAAAGGACTTGGGCGACCGCCACCCGCACCGTCGGTGGCGCAGGCTAGTACGACGAGGCGTATAACGATGAGGAGCGACACTACTACCTATTTGTTGCCAATTAAAATATGCGTATGGAAAAGCATGCTCGTGGGGCCAAAACGAGCCGTGGTCCGAGCACCAGGCGCACCGCGCTCTTCCGATCGTCGAGCTTTTCATCGCATATTCTCGCTATTCGACGGGATTGCTACTATTACGTAGTTGCCACTGTTATTTAGTTGGTTGATGCGATGTTTGCGTTGCGACTATACTCTACTCCCACGTCGTATGTTGCCGACTTTGCCTCGGATGATCAAGTGCTCGACTTTGTTTTTGCGTGGCGATGCTCAGGAGGCATCTGTCGACCTGGATCTGTATCATTTTCGAGAGGTCCTTTGTGGATTTGCGCGCCATTTTGAGTGCCCGTTGGGCGCGTCAGTTTCGAGTATAAATAGGCTCGGGCTGAGGCGAGTCGTCACATATCGGTTCAAGCGTGCGAGAGTTCGGTATGGCGGATGCAGGCGGCACGCGTCTCGTGCACGTCAACGACGAAGCCGCCAACGCGACGCTCCGCACCACCTGCAAGTACACAACGAATTGGGTCGCGACGTCCAAGTACACCATGTACAAGTACGTTCGTCGCAAAGGAAGACCGACAAACATGCTGACTGCACGCACTAGCTTTGTGCCCAAGACGCTCTTTGAGTTTTTTCGTGTGGTCGCCAACTGCTACTTTCTCGTCATCTCCATCCTCCAGCTCTCGACGACGTGGTCGCCGACCAACTCGTACACGACGGCCGGCCCGCTTCTTATCGTGCTTATTGTCTCGATGGTCAAGCAAGGCTTGGAAGACAAGAAACGCCACGAGGCCGACGCCGTCCAAAACAGCCGCCAGTGCCAAGTATTATATATTGCTGCCACTGACGACACGGCTCAATTGGCGTAGGTGGTGACGACGGGCGGCACTCTTGTGAGCAAGTGCTGGCAAGACGTGCTCGTCGGCGACATTCTCTTCTTAAAAGACAAGGATGAATTGCCCGCCGACATCTTGATCTTGGCCACGTCGGAAGAAGAAGGCCGGTGCTTTGTCGAGACGTGCAACTTGGACGGCGAGACGAACCTGAAGCGCCGGACCGCGCTCGAGCCGATTGCCAAACTCATTGGCTTTCGCGGCCTCAGCGATGTACGTCAACCAACGATGTAGGCGGGACGGATGGAAATTCCATAATGTGGTAGCCTGTTCTGGACACGACCAGCCACATGAGAAGCTGCATGGACTTTGCGGCCACGATCGAGTACGAGCAGCCCAACAACCGCTTGTACAACTTTACGGGCCGAATCCAAGCCAAAAAGCTCAACGAGCCCGTGCCGATTGGCCCCAACAACATTATCTTGCGCGGCTGCAGTCTTCGAAGCTGCAGTTATATCTTTGGTACTAAGCTATTTGACCTAAAAATGGGCTCTGATGGCATGCGACGCTTGTAGGCATTGTGCTCTTTGCGGGGAAAGAGTCCAAGCTCATGCAGAACGCCCGCGCAACGCCGTCCAAGCAGAGCAACGTCTACCGCATGGTCAACCGCTGCATCGTGCTCATCTTCTTGACACAGGTATGTACATTATTGTCATGTTGCGTCTTCTTCCTAGCGATGTAGCTCGTCTTGTGCATCATTTGCGCCGTCTCGTTCAACGCGTGGGTCAACCACTACCAGGGCATTGTGTGGTACCTTCCGTTCATCAACCACGACTACTCGGCCTTTTTCACATTCCTCATCCTCTACAACAACCTCGTGCCCATCTCGCTCTACGTCTCCCTCGACATGGTCAAGGTATTAGTCATGACAAGTTGTCCAACAACTGATAGACATTTTGTCATCTCGACTAGGTGGCCCAAGCCAAAAACATCTCGTCGGACCCGGACATGTGCCACGAAGGCTTCCACGCGATTGCGCGCACGTCCGACCTCAACGAAGACCTCGGGCAGATCGAGTACATTTTCTCCGACAAGACGGGCACGCTGACGCAAAACATCATGGAGTTTCGCAAGTGCTCGATCGGCGGTATCGTCTACGGGTACGGGTCGACGGAAATCGCGGCCGCGGTCGCGCTTCTCGCTGCCCAGCGGAACGGCGAGAACGAAGCACCCGCTGCGACAATTGTGACGGGGCCGGGACCTGCCGCGGACATTCGCGATGCCCAGATCCACCCGGATAAGACCGTCAACTTTGACGACCCGCGCCTCGTGTCGGAGCTCACGAGCCGCGGGCCCGAGTACAAGAAGATCGATGCCTTCTTGACGCTGCTCTCGGTGTGCCACACGGTGATTCCGGAGGCCAACCCAAACACTGGCGTCACCAACTACCGTGCGTCGTCGCCCGACGAGGAGGCGCTCGTCAAGGCCGCGCGCTGCCTAGGGTACCGTATTTTCAACCAATTTTTGCATGTAAAATCTATGTTTCGGTAGCTACAAGCTCGTGACACCGGCGCCGCTTGTCGAAGTCGAAGTGACGTTCAAAGACAAGTCGCCGACCTTGCGGCAGTACATGGTTCTCAACGTCAACGAATTCAACTCGACGCGGAAGCGCATGTCGATCATTGTCCGCGACCCGAGCCAGCGCATTTTGCTTCTGTGCAAGGGCGCCGACAACGTCATCATGCCCCGCTGCAACCCCGATGCGTTCACGACGTCGCTGGACGAGCAGCTCAAGAGCTTTGCGAGCGAAGGCCTCCGAACACTCGTGCTCTCGCAGCGCGAACTCTCGGAAGACGAGTACGAACGCTGGAACAAGACGTACCAAGAGGCCGCGACGTCGCTCGTGAACCGCGACCAGATGCTCGACGATGCTGCTGAAATGCTTGAAGTCAACATGGATGTCGTGGGCGCGACTGCGATCGAGGACAAGCTGCAGGTCGGCGTCCCGAGCACCATTCACAACTTGGCGATGGCCGGCATCAAGATTTGGGTTCTCACGGGCGATAAGGAAGAAACCGCTGTGAATATTGGCCACGCGTGCCGGTTGCTCAACCAAGATATGCAGCTGCTCTTCGTGAACCGCGAAAACCTCGACGCACTCATCGAACAGGTATCGTTGCGAAGACAATATGGTGAGATGTTTATGGAAACGTGCTAGATTGACTATCTCTACGCCATGGAAAGCGTCCAGTCGTGCTTCAAGAAGGGCGTTGTCTCGGATCGATTGGCCGTCGTTTGTGACGGCAAGTCGCTCGTGCACCTTTTCCCGCCCAAGAAAACCTCCGCAGCCGACCAAGCCACCGCCAAAGAGCTTCGGCGCAAACTGCTGGTTGTTGCGAGCGTCTGCAAAGCGCTCATTGCGTGCCGCGTCTCGCCCGCGCAAAAAGCCGACATTGTCAACCTCGTACCTAGCTCTATGGTCTGCAGTAGTTACATTTATATATTCCACTCGTAGGTGCGCTTCAACTCGGTCAACAAACCAATCACGCTCGCGATCGGCGACGGCGCCAACGACGTCAACATGATCCAGTCAGCGCACGTCGGCATCGGTATCTGTGGTCAAGAAGGTGTCCAGGCCGTGAATGCGAGCGACTATGCGATCGCGCAATTTCGGTACTTGATACGTTGATATTTCCATTGTTGGATGTGGACTTTGGCATGGATCCTCACCTCGTAACTAGATTTCTCGAGCGCCTCTTGCTCGTACACGGACGGAGCAACTACAAGCGCATTGCCAAGGTCATCTTGTACTCGTTCTACAAGAACATGTCGCTCGTGATCGTGCTCTTCTTCTTCAACTTTTTCAACGGCGAGAGCGGCACCTCCCTCTTTGAGAGTTTCGTCATGGCCGGCTGGAACTTCTTCTTGGCGTTGCCGATCATTTCGATTGGGGTCTTTGACCAAGACGTGCCGCCGGCGCAAGCAACGTCGTACCCACCGCTGTACATGACGGGCCAGCGCAACGAAGACCTCAACGTCAAGTGCTTTTGCATCTGGATCGCCAATGCAATGTTTCACGCCTGCGTGAGCTTTTGGATCCCGCTCTACATTGTGCCCGCGTATACAACCCACTCGTTTTACCTCCAAGGCACGACGATCTACTCGGGTTTGCTCATGACGATGAACGCCAAAGTCATGCTCGAGACCATGACGTGGACGCGGTTCAGCTACGCGGTCGTCTCGTTCAGCCTCCTCCTCTTCTTCTTCTTTCTCCTCGTGTACCCATACATGACGTTCCTCGGCACGGATATGATTGGCATCACGCCCGTCATGCTTGGCGCGTACGTTCTCTTGATGCGACCCAACTAACGTATCGTAGGAATCTTTACTGGGACGTTTTCTTCCTCATCCCCGTCGCCTGCATGCTCGTCGACGTGAGCGTGAAGTAGTACGCCCGACTGTGCGATTTTATAGGGATTTTCATGGCTTTTGGTAGCATTCGCCGCTTTTACTACCCGACGCACGCTGATATTTTGCGCGAGCGCGTCGTGATTCAGCGGACGCAGGCCAAAGTGTCGTGTGGCACGATTTCTCACGGATTGGTCCAGCCCACGCCGGCTCCCGTGAGCGCCATGGAGCGAACGCCAACGCAACTCGCCGCCGACGAGAAGGCCGGCATCCGACACCCTGGCAGCATGACGTACTCGGGCTTTGCGTACTCGTCGCCCGACGACGACGACACGAGCCGAATCGGCACAGCGCGGGAGATCGCGACGATGCGCGTCGAGCTCTTCAAGCGGAATAGCGTCCAAGACAACGACGGTGTCGTCGCGTCGCACCTTGACCCGCACGGGTCGCAACATTCCACCAAGCGGTTTGTGCCCGACGGCACGACGGCGCGGAGCGTCGCCAGTGATCTCAACGAGTAAGCATCCGCCGATATACATACCAACACTATAATAACGACTCTACTCTTTGCCCTCTCCGATACCACATCGAGTTCGAGCATGAGCACAGCAATTGTGTCGGGAGTTTGCCCTTGGAAAGTTGACCAAGTTGATCAGAATCTAGCTCCTCGAAGACTTATGACCTTTCAACACTCATGGAAGAAACGGTTTTATGGGTGCGATCAATCAAGAGCGGCTGTCCGAGTCGACGTGCCGGAAGCGCCTTCGGGAGCTCGTCAAGGAGACGCAACGCGACCTTCCCGAGGCGCCGTCGGCGATAGAAGTACTCGACCTCTCCGACTGCCACCTCACCGATCACTACGCGGGTCACATTCATGCTGTCATTGAGCTCAACGCCAAGGTGCTCCAGTCGATCGACCTCTCGTTCAACGACTTTGCCAGCGGCCTCGTCGAGGCCTTTGACAATTACCCGGAGCTGCCGTCACTGACGAAACTCAATCTCTCGAGCAACGCGTACGGTTTGGTTTTTTGAGCGAATTTGTTTGCATGTTTGAGATACATGCTCGTAGCATCAACGACACGGCGGCCGACCACGTGAGCAAGCTCGTGTCGCGCTGCCCGAAGCTCACGTCCATCGATCTCTCGCTCAACCGGCTCGGGAAGGGCTGCGCGCGCGCCATTGTCCAAGCCAAGTTGCTCGTCTCGCTCGACCTCTCTTCGAGTCATTTGTCGGACGCGGGCTGCGACGTTCTCTGCCAAAGTCTTCTCGTACGCAAGTCGAGTCTCCAGGTTCTCTCGCTCGCCATGAACCAGCTCACCGACAGCAGCGCGCTCGCCGTCGCCAACGTGCTCGTCAACGACACGACCTGTGCACTTCGGACGCTCGTTCTATCCGGAAACCTTATCCAAGACCACGGCGCCAGCGCCATTGCCTTCTCGATGGACCGCAATGCCTCGATCCAAGAAATCTTCCTCGACGCCAACCAGGTAGTGTCAGGACTCCTAACTTTCAAAAGTTTGAAAAGTTAAGAGTATCGTCAAACCTCTACATCGACTAGATTGGCAACGAAGGTCTTCGGTCCTTCCTCAACATCCTTCGATCGAGCCCGACGCGAACATATGCGGCGCTGTGCCTCGATGGAAACCCCGCCGACGCCGGTCTCTTGCGCGATGTGGACCACCAGCGCCAAGCCAGCGTATGCATCGAAGAACGACGCGATTGTTTGTGCGAGTGCTAAATAGATGCTGCTGTCGCAGCTCCCAAAAGATCTCGGCGTGCGCGACCGCCTCGAGCTCAGCGGCCCCACCGTCTCGACGTACCTCGGCTCGGTCATCTTTGACCACATGTGCCAGGTACATTTCGCCATCTCCAAATCGAAGGCCACACACAAGACGCGACTAACGTTCTTGATTGTCTAGGCCTGCGTGGACATTTTGCGTAGCTACCGACACCTTGTGCACGTCGACTTGAGTAAAAATGCGATTGGCGACCACGGTGCTCAAGAGACAAACACCAACCGGCACCAACATGCAGCTGTAGGCGCGTTCGACATTGCTCTGTACGTGGCAATGAACCCTAAACTCACAACACTTCACCTTGGTTGCAACCAGATTGAAGGTACACTTAGTGGCAGTCATGTGTGTGTGCGATCGACCACTCCATGATTAGATGCGGGTGCGGTTGGCCTCGCGCAAGCCCTGCTCGTCAACAGCACACTGACGAGCCTGCACATCGAGTCCAACCGGCTCGGGGACGCTGGCGTCCGTAGCCTGTACGCTGCTTCGTTTGACAACAAACGCAGTGCGCTAACCACCATCCGCGTCGACGCCAACCTGGTATCGCTCGCGCTCTCTCCTAAATTACAATCTTTCTTGTGGCATTCTTAGCACGGTGTCGAAGGCAACCACGCCATCACAGCGATCGCCGAGGCTAAGAAACTCGCGATTTCATTGGCTCAGGAAACGCCCCTCGTGCTCGATCTTTCGTACTGTGACGTTGATATTCTATCAGTCTATCAATGTGTCACGGTAGAGGTCAATATTTGCAGCGGTTTGGCGCCAACGTGGTGCGCGATACTCTTTCGAGTCAGTGCCAAGTGCTCAACTTGTGCCGGAACGCCCTTGGCGACGACGGTGCCGCCGCTATCGCAACGCTCCTCCTTCGACACACGGCGCTCACCAAGGTCGACTTGAGCTGCAACAACATTGGCGACAAGGGCGCGTTGGCGCTGGCCGAGGTGCTCCCCAAGAACAAGACGCTAATCGCACTCAATGTACGCGCGGCGTACGGCGAGGCGGCGTCGTGGCGTGACGCGCACATCTCGGAGGCCGGCATGCTCGCGCTCAGTCGCGCACTGAGTGACAATACTGGTCTCCAGGTCGTCGACCTCCGCGACCACTGCGCCAGCAAGCACGTCGTCGCATCGTGGGTGCAGTTGCTGCAGAAGAACGCAACGCTCACCAAACTCAATGGTCTGACGCCGACGGTCTTTCTGTCACGCTACCACATTTAGCAAGTCCATCAATAGCAAAGAGTACTAGAGTACTACACATGAATCGAGTTGGCCGAGTACCGTGGTCGCACCGTATCGCCCATGATAAGCTGTAGGCAGATCAATCCAACCCTTCGGTTCGCATCGTCCGTTCTGGTTTGAAACTCTGTTGCTCGCAAAATGCAGCACCGCCAAATATCCCAATTTGAAATTTGGAACCAGGACTTTTGAACTCGAGTCGTTAGTTTCGGACCAAGCCTGAAACAAGGATATCCAAGGTCCATTTGACAAGATCACGAGCACGATGGCGGACCCGAAGCCTCGCCTGAACCCGATGGAGCTCAAGGTACGCGTCTTGCTGCAGGAGCGCGCCACGTATACGGCGTCTGATAGCGACAACGCTTGGCCAAGCGGCTCAAGGCCGAGCCGCTCGTGCCAACCCCGACGGCCGAGAAGCCGCTGCCAACCACGACGCCCGAGAAGCCGCTGCCAGCCGCGGCCGTCGCCGATTCGCCGGCGATGGACATCGAGGCGCGCATGAAGTCGATCTACGCCAAGACGCGCATCGAACCCAGCGCTCTTCGCAACACGTTGGGCGTTCAGTACCCCACGACACTCGAGGTAGTCCATCGCGCTGTGCCTTGTACGACTCTGCTCCGTCGGTGTAGACGCGCGACGAGCTTCCATGGGACTGGACGCTCAAGACGAAGCTCTCGTGTATGACGTCATTTCCATTCCCGCCACGGGTTCGCGCAGCGGGCGCTGCCCGGTCGTTTGAGCGCTTCCACAACGGAGCCAACGTACGCGCCGTCCTTCGGTTCTACCTCTCGACATCTCTGTAGAGCGACGAGAACATGCGTCCCGACGAGCGCTGGTACGCGGGGCTGCATCAATACGTCCACCCGGCGTCGGGCTTGCCCAACCAAGCCGAGGGCGGCCACGACGACGACTTTGTGAGCCAGCGACTGCGCGACTGGCAGGACGCGTTCCGGAGTCTCTACTACGCCTTTCACCACACTCCGTACGTGCATACGAGTTCTTCGAGTCGACTTCAAGTCAACGTATTAGGACGCACCGGTCGTTCTACCTCGTCACGCCGCAGTTTGTCGTCTGTTTTTATCGACAAGTGCCATCAAGAGACACAACGACCAACTCGTTCCGGGCCTCCTACGCGCTACCACCGGCGCCGTCGCCTGTCGCGAGCAGCAGTCCCCAAGGCGTCCGTCACGGTACATTTCGAAATCTGTACCGAAATTGCATGAACTGACACGATATGGAGGTATCGCCGCGGTCATTTCCCACTCGACGTCGTCGTTTCGGCGCGAATTAGTCGCCAACGGCATTGTGTTTTCGACGCCGTTCAGCCGCACCGACGGCCACGCCCAAGTGCAAGGCGATGCAGCGCTTCTCAAGGAGCTGCATGCGCTCAGCAAGGTCGATGCCGAGCTCAAACGTGCTACGTTCACGTCGCCGACGCCTTCGTCGTCACGGGCGTCGCAGTCATCGACCAATGGGAAAGCCATGCGCGGCGCCGACTCGCTCCTGCTCTTCCACGACCCGGACAACGTTCACGGCCTGTACGACTTTCTGCTCAACCAGCAACCCACCGGTACACGCCGCCCTTCCTGCATCGTCCTATCTGCTGAAAAGACGACCGACTTGATCCAACTAGGTGCACTGGACGTCCCGACCATCTATGCAGCGATGCCATTCCAGCACGCCAGCGCCGTGCCTCTCAAAGTAACGTCCCGTGGCAGCGTCAAGTCGGCCCAGTCGCCCACCGAGCGCTACAAGTACGTTACGATCTATGACTGCTATACTGATTCCAACTGCAGGATCGAGGTTGATGGCGTGCTGCTGCCCGAGACCCATCGGCGCCTCACGCTGGCGATCGCCGCCGCCGCGGGCTCGGATGGCACGGTGGACGTGCACCACGAGACCTTTCCCGCATCCTCGCGGCTCAACGTCTGTGGGTTTGATTTGGACGTTCAAAATCTGGCGATTTGGCTCGAGACGCATGGCGACGAGATCGAGCTCACCAAGCGGCATCTCCAGAGCGTCCACTACGCGCCCGATACTGGGTTCACCTGCAATGTTCAGAAATCCTAAGCTATCAAGTTGATACAAAAAGACATGAAAATAGCAACGTTGCAAGGGGGTTTAGTCGGTCTTTTGCTTGGCGTCCTGGGCAAGGAACGCCGTCTTGGCGATCGAGTAGACGGCCTTGAGTCGGTCGTACATGACGCTGCCGGTCGCAAACGTCACAATGAGCATGAACGTAATGATCGCCCAGTAGAGGTGCGAGAGCGTCACGCTCACATGCCTAACCACACCCAATTAAGGCCCTTATGTTCTAGCTCAAATCGGGCCGAGCGAACGTACTTGCAGTCGTAGATCGGAATGTCGTAGCCAACCGACTCGTAGCAGAAAAGGTCTTGGGTCACGCGGAACACAAAGAGCACGAGCGCCATCGTCGCCGGCACAATGTAAAACTCAATGTTCTTGTACGGGTCGCGCTCGTCGTTGACTTCGACGTACCGCGCGTGCTCCTTCTCAATCTCGAGCGCGAGTTGGCCGCGGAACTTCAAAATGGCCGACTGCCGCCTAAAACAGTGACCGTTAAGATTCGTTTCATTGCTACAATATTGTACCCCATCTTGGCGCCCATGTCAAAGATGGTCATGGCGCCGAGCGTACACAACCGGTGGTGCTCGGTGAGGTACATGGGCTTGACGTAGTTGCACTTGGGGCCGACGACCTTGGCCATCTCAAGCTTGTACTTGTGCAAAGCCTTCTCCTTCATGTTGACATTGTTGGCTTCCGCGGTCGCTTCAAGGAGTGTCTTGGCCTCCGGGAAGATCGTTGCCTCCTTGAAGAGCGCTGCGTACGACTTGATAAAGGTGAGCAGCTCCTGCGACGAGACGTCGACGCCGTGGATCTTCTTGGGCTGGAGCGACGACGGGCCAAAGAGGTGGTTGAGGTATGACGTCAGGAGCTGCATGAAGCGGCTGTCAATCTCGTCAATCGACCCGTCATAGTCGCGGTCCGTGACGGCCTCGCCCGGGTGCGACAGCAGAATGCACGAGATCGACTGGAAGCACGCAAAAATCTGCTCGCGCGTGTCGGCGAGGTCCTGCTGCTTGCGCGCCGCGAGGATCTCCTGCGTGTACGCCTTCATGTCGGCCTTCTTCTCGTCGAGGGTCGCCGTGCGCTTGAAGTCCTGCCAATCCCGCACGAGGAAATCGAGGTGCTGGAATGGACGCATCTGCCCGTCGTGGGCGCCTTCGCCATCGTCGTCGTCATCCGACTTGGAATCTTCGACGTCCGTCGCGTCGACCACGTCATTCGCGTCGCTGGACGCCTGCTTGGCAAGGTTCTTGTCCGAGACCGCCTTGGCAAACGACTGAATGCTGCGCAGCGACGCGGCCTTCATCTCGGCGTTGTCGTTCTGGTCGATCGAGCCCTGGAGCGCCATGCTACATCGAATATCTCATTGCCACCAGATGTACATGCACACAATAGCCGTACCGGCCATATTCGGTGAAGAGCGCCAGATGCTGGAGGTTGTCTTCCTGGACGCGCTTGTCGACGTTGTAAATCTGGTACGAACTCAGCAGCGTGCTGAGACCAAAGATGCTCGCGGTGAGCATCTGCGACGTCTCGGAATCAAACATGCCCTGCGTGTCGATGAGGAAGACGGCGATGTCTTCGCCGTCCTTGCTCTTGCGGATGAACGGCTCGCCCCACATCCAAATGCCGGTCGTGTTGCGCTTCCGGCCTGCGCGCCACGAAAAGCCCGTCTCGCCGTGCGTCTGCTCAAAGTTCGAGTTGCCCTCGAGCTGCGCGCCGTGCGCCATGGCCCACTCGCGCGTCGTGACGTCCGGCGACTCGTGCGTCGACGTGTACTTCAAGTAGCGCAAGAAGAGATCCAAGACGAACGACTTGCCCGTACGGAAGGCGCCGACGACCGAGATGATTGCAACCTTCATGTCTTTGGGAACCTACTCGCAGCGCCATGAGGCTCATCGTCGTCGTCATCATGAGGAAGGTTGCCGTACCTTGCCAAGGATGGATTCGATCGCTTCGTCGTTGAGCTCAAACTTGGTGCCCCCGTCGTCAATGCGCACGATCTACCCGGGGTCGCATGGGTCCATGGAGCGAGTGGCATGAGCATGTGCATGGTACCTGGATCGCGCCGACCTGCGGCGCCGGCTCGGCGGCCGGGCTCGTGCTGCTGGCCTCTACATGCTCGGCCATCTTGCGTCCTTGTTGTATCGAAGAATGTGCCTGTTTAGTCACTACTCCTGGGTTGGGAAAAACCTCTACAAATGAATATTAGGCCGAGAAATATGCAATCTCAAGGTTCCAGTGACGGCGACACGGAAGAGGACGACGGTCGTTCAACAGCTTTCGCCGGCCGCCATGGCCTTCGCCGCGCGCTACTTGTCTGCACCTAACTGGTTGCCATATATAGAAGCCATGGCCGGTAATCGCGGCGCTTCCTCGCGACCTGCTGCGGCGTCCGGGGCTAAAGAGACGCACGGTGCGAAGGATGGCCACGTGGGGATACTGTGGGCGTGGAGCGACGTCGTGCCATAGATAGGCTGTCAACGTCAACGATGATGATTGGCGTTCTCTTGAAGTACCTGCGATGACACCATCGACATCCAACTCGACTTCAGCTGCGCACTGGATCGACTCGGTCGCCGTCATCGTAGAATTTAACGTTATGGTAGTTTATGGAGCAACTAGAAGCCGTTTAGACACTCGAGTCGGAGAACATGATGTAGCCCGCGTGGCCGAGCGCGAGGCCGACACTCGAGAGGAAAATCGCGTCAATTTGCTTCTGCGGCAAGCGGCCGCGGAGGCCAATGCGGAGAAGCGGGATTAGCGGGCCGTACAAGAGCGGCGCGAACAAGTGGAGGTTCGGGCCGGTCGCGGGCTTGGCCTCGACGGCCGGCGGCGGCGTCCACTCTCGTCGGTTCGGGGCCATCTTCGTCGTCGCGGTGTCGAGGATTTGATTGTGTTGGATGCGAGAGAGTCCAGCCGCCGCGATCGTCCTGTCCTTTACCGGATTCCTCGCTCGTATCCGGAGAACCGGGCCAAGAAAGCGCTTCGGAGCGCTTCGTTGGCCGGCCACATCAATCGTATTTCAGAGGTGCCTCTTTTCCTCCGAAATCGAATAACTATCGAGGTATCAGAAACGATGCACCGTGTTCAAACCTAGTCATCCGCTCACGGCACAACGGATTACCTCATCACGCTCGTTACCTATACGTGCATCGGCGATAGCCACAACGAGGGTCGCGGCATGAATCTCGCTAATCGTTTTCGGTCACCCAAGTAGTCACTGCGGACAGCGAGCTACTGCCAGAGCTACTACTAGGAAATGAAAGCTTATGCGGCGTGGCCGCTTTGGTCTCTGGTGACAGAAGCCGTCGCTAGGAAAGGAAGTTGTCCCTGCGGACAGCGATATTTCCCACAAGGAACGATGCGCGCTTTGGCAGTCACGATAGCGCAAGTATGTTCGCAACTCTGGATTGGTGGTACCCTAACTCAAAGTTGGCTCTAGTGCATGGACCCGCCCAGAGAGACTAAGATGCTATAGGTTGAGACTCAACCTCTAGCATCGCGCTCGCTCTCAACTTGAGAGCACGCGCGATGGCAAGCAAGACGCGGTCGGGCAACACCAAAGGCGATATGCAAACGACTGCAAGACACCGTGACGATTGATGGGTCGTAACGAAAGCTACTACAAGACACTCGAGTCGGAAAACATGATGGATCCTGCGTGGCCGAGCGCGAAGAACACGGTCGAGAGGAAGATCACGTCAATCTTGCGTTGCGGTAGCCGACCGCGCAGCCCGAGGCGGATGAGCGGAATGATCGGACCGTACGCGAGTGGCGCAAATATGTGGTAGTTGGGGCCCGCCGGTTTCGGCTCTACATGCGGCGGTGGCGTCCACGTTCGCCGACTCGGGGCCATCGTTGACGTACTTGCAGTGTCGAGGATTCGATTGTGCCGAGGATGATCCATGATACGCCGTATCCGGACAAACGGTGCAAAAAAAGCGCTAAAAAACACTTGCAGGCGTCCGGATCTCTCGCGCGTCTAAGGTGCAGCGCCCACCGTCACCGGCGACACGAGACGTAGAGTGGGCAAGGCCATGTAGCGACGCGATCGATATGCGTCGTCGACAGAGTGACGCTGTATCGGGTACAGTCCTATACCTACACGATCGAAAACCACGTCATTGTTGTATTTTCCACGTCGATGGCCCGTGAAAAACAGCGGCCCTCACATGTGAAAATCATGGCCCTCAGTATACCAAAAAGAGGTACAAACCAACCCTTTTCTGACAGCAATACACCACGGTGATTGGTCAGTATACTGGACGGGGCATGGATCCATTGGTGCCCAAACCAAGTCTGCAGCACGATGAAGGAGTACCTGGTCTTCTGTGTGCACCGCCACTTGGTGCGTCGCCGTCGTCCGTTCTGGCGTTGTACAGGCTGCTCATGCTCGTACGGACGCTAGGACTTTCGCTTTCCGGAGCTCGATGCGCTCCTGACGATGCAGTCGCTCGACCCGAGCGCGTGCTACTCGCGCGACGCCAACCCGCTCTCGTCGCCGCTTGTGCACATCAAGCTGCCATCTGAGGCGCACGCCAAGTTCCTCTCGCAGCGTGGCATTCTCGTCAAGGGCGTGTACGAGATTTGGGGCCACGGCAAAACGTACGACGAGGTCGTCGCCTCGGTCGCAGCGTTTGAAGAGCGCACGACGTACGTCGAGGACGCGAGCTTGAGCTGGAAGATCAACGTCGATGCATTCGGGCTCAAGCTGAGCATGGAACAGCAAACGGCTCGTCGCGAGCGCTTCCGCGAGATCCTGCCGTTCCAGGGGCCCGTCGTACTCTCGAATCCGTCCAACACGTTTCTGATCCTCGAAGACATTGGCGTCGACGAGGCTGCCATGACGCCGCAGCGCATCTTCTTTCTCCGGACACTGGCCGGCGCTGAGCGCAACCGTGGCCGTGGCGGCGCGCGCGACCTCGTACGACCCCATTTCTTGACCGTTTGTCTATCAAATTTTGTATAGGTCGACATGCAGACGCTCAAGCGCCGCGCGTACATTGGTCCGACGTCGATGGACGCTGAAATGGCGCTGCTCATGTGCAACATGGCGCTGGTCATGCCTGGCGACCTCGTCATCGACCCGTTCGTTGGGACGGGCAGCGTCCTCGTGCCCTGCGCGACGTTCGGCGGCATCTGCATGGGCACCGACATTGACACGCGCGTGCTCCACGGCAAGAACAACAAGACCATTTACTCGAATTTCCACCAATACGATTTGCCCGTGCCCGAGCTTGTCCGCGCCGACAACTCGCGCTCGCCGCTGCGGTGCCCCATGTACTTTGATGCAGTCGTGTGCGACCCGCCGTACGGCATTCGCGCCGGTGCCCGCAAAAGCGGACGGTATGTATCAATCTATCAGTCTATCAAATCATGAAATCAACCGACTGTTGCATAGGCGGGAGCGGCCGGACGATGATGCTGACGCGCCGCCCGCCTTGACCAAGTCGGGCAAGCCCAAGTACGGCCCGCGTGAGATTCCCGAGGAGTGGCTCGACACGCATTTCCCCGTGACGCAACCCTATGCGGCCGAAGACGTCATGAAGGATCTGCTGACGTTTGCGGCAACAAACCTCCGTGTCGGGGGTCGTGTCGTGTACCTCCTTCCGACGACGTACGACTACACGGACGACGACTTGCCCGTGCACCCGCTCCTGCGTGTGGTCGCCAACTCGGAGGAGAAGCTCACGTCCAAGTACGCGCGGCGCCTCATTACGATGGAGAAGGTTGCGACGCCGATCGCGACGTCGGTCCAAAAGACGAAGGACTTTAGCTTTGCCAAGCTCCGCGAGCGCATCGTCGAACCGAGCGGGAGCCAGAAACGCAACGTCAAGCCCAAGACAGCCGAGTAAATGGGAGACGAGGAGGTTCATATTACCACTACATACTTTAGCGTGTTGTACACGTTATGCGAAATAACGACGGGAGCGATTGTGGAGTTATAGCTGGCCTTGGTAGGATAAGGACAACAATTGTTCCCCAATGATTGCACCTCGTGAAGCTTCCACGAGTGAGTGCTTAACTACAGTAAATATGATTGGCTAAAATGGTTGTAAAAACAACCAATGCGGGATGACTTTAACTTTACCTCGCTGCCATCGAGGTCGCGGGATCGCCAAATCGAGACGGACAAAATTTCGCTCGAACTCTGGGCATCGATAAATGGCACTTTGGAGATCCTAAAACGCTAGGTTAGGCTGGCGTGGAAGGCGTAGAGCGAGAGAAATCCAGGACAATGTGAACATATTTTGGGTGATTTGATTGGCTGAAAGTATATTATATCCAACCAATCACAGATAAAGTGGAATGCCCGCACGCTTCGCGCGGTCGCCCGATGGCCAAAGGAAGGTTTTTATCGGCACCGCTCATACTTGGTATATGGATAGAAGACTCGTATGAGAGGCGAAAAAGCTACGATAAGTCGGCGTTGACGGCGTACACCGAGAGAAATCCACCGTTGAAGTTGGTAGGTGCAACCCTAGACCTACCCTAGCCCTCCAAGGTACAGCCAGAACTTCATGTTCCTCCGCAAGCTTTTTGGCAATGGTTCTGGAGGAAGACAGACTTCAGGAGCAGTTATATTGTGGACCAAGTGAATTGTTTGTGGTGGTTTGTGGCGCAACTCTTTTTCATAAAGGGCTCAGCACACGACTTGACGTATCGTGCGCGTCAAGGTGCCAAAAACGCGAATGCTGGTCTTTCCAACCATCATTCATTGTCACTCTGCACAATATGGCGCGTAGAGAAGCACACAGTGCAAAAAACGTCAAGATGGCCTCCGACCTCTACCGCATCCGAGTCGTCCGCGTCCATCGCGGCAAGTGCATCGTCGTTTTCCGCGTCTACTGCGTCTACTACGACTGCACGGTGCCATCCGATGCCTCCTTCTTCGTGCTCCTCCTCGACGACGGCCGGTTCCTCTTTCAATCGTACGCCAACGTCGGTCCCAACAGTGGTTTTTCAAGCGCCAACGAGCCCTTTGCAATCGCCTCCGACGGTCAAGCACTGAATCGTGCATGGATGACTGCGAACGCCCACAAGTTTGTGAAGCGCGTCGAACAGACCGCGTACTCGCCGTCGACGCTCAAGACGAACCCGGCGTTCGTCTACAGCGGCTTTAAACAGGAGCGGCAGCTTGAGCAAGGCGTGTACGAAGTCGAGTATACAGATCCCAAGTGGATCGAGCACTTCAAGGTCGGTCATGTGTGGCAGACGGCCTGCTTTGACATGCTGAGCTGCATGCCCATTGACTCCTCGCGCCTCAAATCCGTGGCGACGCCCACGCCGAAAGCAACCCGCGCTGCGGCGCCGTCATCGTCCAAGACGACAAAGAAGCCCGTGAAGAAGACAAAAACGATCAAGGCAGGTGCCTCTACCAAGACCACCGTTGAAAAACGCAAGTCCAAGGTTTAGATTAAACAACGTCCATTCATATAATCTACTACATAACATTAGCAACGGTGTTGGACGAGACGTCATGGCCTTGTACTCGGAGGGCTCGGGTAGGTCTAGGGCTGCACCTACCAACTTTAACGGTGGATTTCTCTCGGTGTACATTTTCTCTTTTGTACAATATTGTACAATATTGTGTTGCATCGAAGCTCTCATTGTCAAAGGCACATCGCTGTAGACACGCCACGTAGCATGAGTTCGTCGTCAAAGCGCACTCGATGTCCCAGGATTGACACGACAACCAATGGTATTATCAGGGCCATAAACATTCCGGAAAGGTTATCGCCGAGGTATTATTGTCTTACGCACTTCTCCGATCTTTCGCTGCGCTTTTCTTAGAGCCGCGCGGCCGGCGTCGACGTGAGATCGACGATGAGCTTGCCAACGTTCTTGCGCGCATACATGTACTCGATCGCATCGGGGACCGCTTCGAGGCCGTGGAACGGCGTCGGGTCGACGCCCGGGTCCAAAAGCCCCTTCTGCACGAGGAGCCCGAGCTTTTTGGCGTGCGCGCCAAAGTGGGCCATGTGGTGGTTGAGGAAGAAGCCCCGGAGCGACGCCGACTTGGAGAGGAGCGCTGTCGAGAGCGGGCCGGCGCCTCCCGCCGCCTTGCCGTCCCACGAGCTCGAGTCTTGGTAGCCCGAGATGGCGCCAATGACAATGAGGCGGCCATGGCGCGCGAGGTTGGCGACGCACGTCTATTCCGAAGAGTATCAATCTATCGAGCAGGCAACGGCAAAAGACATACGTCGAGCATGTCACCGCCGACCGACTCGAAGACAAGGTTGACGCCGCGGGGAAACTCCTTCTTGAGGACGGCGCCAACGTCTTCCTTCGTATAGTCGATCGCACGGTCGCAGCCGAGGTTGAGAAGAAAGTCCTTCTTTTCCTGGGAGCTGCACGTGCCAATGACCGTGTTGCCCGCGAGCTTGGCGAGCTGCACAGCAAACTGGCCCGTCGCGCCGGCCGCGGCGGTCACGAGGACGACCTCGCCTTGCCGCATCTAGAGTCATTTCTCTCAGTATTATGGTCGCAAGAGCATTATACCTCGCCCGTGACGTCGAGCGCGATCGAGGCCGTGAGGCCGCACACGTTGAGCGGCAGCACGGACGGCGAGAGCAGTGGCACCTTGGCGATGAACTTGACAGGCACGACGATATACTCGGCGAACGCGCCATAGACTAATCGCCCGGCATCCTGTTATACCTCTGCGATACATGCAAGTACAACACGTACGCGAATACATGACGGCGTCGCCGACCTTGAGGTGCTTGACCTTGGGGCCGACAGCGACCACCTCGCCGACTAGATGAAGGTTGAGACATAGCAACGGAAGGAAGGAAGGGACGTACCAGCTTCAAAGCCGACGTCAAAGGGCGGCGTCACGCCCGGAAGGTACTTGCCGTTCGTAAAGTTGATGTCGGACGCGTTGATGCCGAGGTAGTGGTTCTTGACGACGACCGTGTGGGCGGCGGCGACGAGGCCCGCGACCGGCGCCGTCACGATCGTCGTCGCGGCGCGGAAGTTGGTCGAGAGCTCCGTGCACACGATCTTGCGGTACGACTGCGCCATGTATCTCCAATCTCAAAAGTAAGTCGACTAAGATTTTCGAGTCGACCTGGGCTTGTGCAATCGCACGGGATATCTCATCGTGCCAAAGTGCAACTTGGCCATCCGGTTGTGTCCGGATCGCCATCATGGCAGTTTACTATACCATACTTTTTTCAAGTAATCACATGTCGCAGCCCGTCGCCGGTTGGTGAAAGAAGATCGCTCAAGCAGCGCCAGCCACGCAGCGACCGGCCACCATGCGCATCGTGATGATCCACGCGCTTCGCCACTCGCAGGCGCCGATTGAAGCAGCGTTCGCACGGCTGTGGCCGACAGCGTCGCTGGCCAACCTCACAGACGATTCGCTGGCCGCCGACCTCGCGGCCCTCGTGCGCACCGACCCGCCTGCGACTGGCGCGCCGCCGCGCCTGTACGACCCGATCCAAGCCCGCTTTCACTTTCTAAGCTCGTATGCCACGACCGAGATGGCGGGCGACGCAATTCTGTTTACATGCTCGGCGTTTGGGAGCTACATTGACGCGGTCGCTGCCCGCGTGGCGCCAACGCCCGTGCTCAAGCCCAACGAAGCGATGCTTGACGACCTCGTCGCAATGGCCCGCGCGTCGTCGGCGACAGCGGCCGACCCGTTTGTGGTAGCGCTCGCCGCGACGTTCTACCCGACGTTGGGCTCGATGCGCGAGGAAATCGACGAGCTGCTTGGCGCCGCGCCGGACGTGCATCTGCGCATCGTGCCCGTGCACATTGAAGACGCGCTCGAGGCGCTCAACGCCGGCGACAGTAATCGCCACAACGAGCTGGCGGCAGCGACCTTGTCGGCGGTCGTGCAGGCGACGCCTGTCCACGCCGTGGCGTTGGCGCAGTTTAGCCTTGCACAGAGCGCGCCGCTCATTGCTGCATCCACGTTGCTGCCCGTGCTGACGACGCCGGACGCGGCCGTCCGTGCGCTGCAGCGGCGACTCCTGGCTCCAAGCGACGTCGGTTGCTCTTGAAACCGCTCGTAATAAAAAAGAATCCAAAACGAAACCTGTTGTATTTTTCATTTTGCCGCCGACGCCGCAGCCGGATCGATGGAGAAGAAGACGGTGCTGACGGACGACTGGGAGTCGGACCTCGCAGCGATCATCGAGAAGACCAACCAGAACCTCAACCTCCTGCGCAAGATTGGCGAGAAGCGCGAAGACGCGCCGGCGAAGAAGGCGATGGCCATGATGAGCCGCGCCAAGTCGTCCAACGCGCTAGGTGCGCCGCGGGAAACCACTGGCAATGACCGGACGCGCGCGAGCATTTCTACCGAGTACTACGCTCAATGACGACCGCTGCGTCATTGCTCCTGCTGACATAGCGCCTCGATCCACAAGTGGAAGCAAGTGCTCGACGACTCGACAACGTTGAAGCGCCACATTGCACACAAGATGCTGGTGCGAAAAAACGGCGAATGACGTGGCAGCGTACGATGCATGTGGCGCTGTCTAGGAGTCGACCAAGGGCAAGGACAAGGACAAAGGCCCACGCCGGGCCGCGAGCTCGGCGTGGGACGCGTCGTCGGTTGTCAACACCAACCAAGACGACCGCGCCGCGCACCAGCCGCTCCTATCGCTTGATGAAATCAAAAAGAGGTCAACATACCTCTTCTCCCAGTGCAAACGAGCAATTCTCTCATCACCGCTGTCACTAGCTTGCAAGTCGACATCTCGTCGCGCGCGAGCCTGCTCGAGAAGCAAATTGCGGACCTGCGCACCGACTACCAAACTATGACGGGCGAGAGCGGCGTCGTGTCGTTGAAGCTCCAGCAACTCTCGACCCAGGTCTCTCTTCACGCAAACCATAGTACACCTACTGATGACCTGCGTAGCTCGACGCCAAAGCCGACCGTGTGAGCAGTGTCGAACATACGCTGCAAGAGCAGTCGGCGGTCCTCGGGCGACTGGACGTGCAGGCCAACCACGTGTTGAAGTGGAAGGCCGCCGTCGACGTCGATCTCCAGACTCAAACGTACGTTACGTATTTGATATTGAATGGCATATTCAATATGGCGCATGCGTAGCGCCAAGACTGCCCTGGTCGACGGCCTAGAGAATAAAGTCGTGTCGCTCGAGCGCACCGTGGCCGAGCTCGTGACGCGCCTTACCAAGGCGTCGGACGTCGAGCAGTCGATCGAGCACTGTACATTACGCATCTCGCAGCTCGAAGCGAAAGCCGCCAAGTCGTTGGGTACCGTAAAAGTGTTGAGATTGAGATTGAGATTGCATTTTTGCATTAGATAACGCAACGCTGACGCATACCATTGAGACGGTCGTGACCAAGGCAATGCAAGCGTACGACGACCGGCTCACGCGGCGCCTCGAAGCGCTCACCGACATGCAAGAAACGAAAAACGCTAGCTTCCTCAAGGTACAAACTTGTCTCTTATACCAAAATGACTAGACAACGGGTGTAGACGATTCAGGGCCAGCGGGAAAACTATGAAAAAGCCATTCAATATGCGTTGGAAGCCAGTGTGGGCGACCTGCGCAACGACGTCGACGCGCACACCAAGCGCATCGATACGCGGTCGCAGGAGATGGCCACGTCACTGGACCTGCGCCTCACGTCGCTCGCCAAGCGTGTGGCGAGCGTCGAATCCAAGTCGAGCGGGGTCGAGACCGACGTCGACGCTACCAAGAACGCGACCGAGCGCGACGAGCTCCTCAAGAAGGCCGTGCTGCGGCACATCGCCGACACGTACGTCACCAAGCAGCAAGTCCCGACGCTGCTCGTGGACGAGCTCGAGGCCCGGGGCACCCTCTTGGCGTGGAAGCGGCTCGAAACGGCCGTGTCCAAGGTACCTTTTTTGTTTATAAAGACAACGTTTCCACGTTTTTTCCACTAGATGTACCGTGAATTTGACCAAAAATGGCACGACGCGAATAAATGGGTCGACGACCTCAAGCTCCAAGTCGAGAAGACGTCGGCGGGCCTCGCGACGATGCAGACCAGCGTGCAGAAGAGCCATATCACCGAGACGCAAGCGTTGCGAGCCAAGCTGCTGCAGTGCGTAAACGAACTCGACCAGCTCCAGAGCACCAAGCTCGACATGGACGCGCATTTCGCGCGGCTCGAGAAGGACCGCGATTTGCAAATCCAAAAACTGCAAGCGCTCGTGTCGGAAGCCGAGGCCAAGCGCGATGCCGACGTCCACGCACTGCAGAGCGCCCTTCAGTCCAAGCTATTGCAAATTGCGTCGACGTCGGGCCAAGTTGAAGTCATGAAGGCGCTCTGGAAGCACGAGCAGTCAACGCTCCGCGTGTGCAAGTCGGATTTGAGTAGCGCCCGCCACGAAGCACTCGCGTACAAGCTCAAGCTCCAGAGTGCCGAGAAGGACAAGGCTCGCAACGCACTCGACCACAAGCAAGCGTTGGGCCGTCTCCAAGACCAGCTGGCGCGGCTTCAAAAGCAGTGGCAGGCTGCCGACCGTGATAGAGCGACCGCACAGTCTTCGCTGCATGCGCTGCTGCAGGACGACGCGCGCAAACAAGCCAAGCTTGCGACGCTACAAGGCGTTTTACAGCGCCTACAGACCACCGCATCGCAAGCGACAGCTTCGCCGCGTGAGCTGGAAGCTGCCGTGCACGAAATGGCAGCGCAGACCAGCACGATTCATGCCCTCCACGCCAACGTCACCGAGCTCGAAGCCGCGAAACTGGCATTGGAAGCCAGCCTTCTGACGTCGCGCGTGTCATTCGAGGCCGAGTTGACGGCGCTCCATGCAAGCCATGACGCGACGCTGTCGGCGCGCGAAGCTACATTGACGCAACTTTCGAATGCCCTCGCGTCGCAGTCGACCCAGCACGCCCACGTGTGTGGCATTCTGACGACGATGGCCAAAGACGTTGGCGCGGCGACGGAGGCGAATGACGAGGACGCTGTGGCGTGCGCCGAAGCGCTCCAAGCGACGTGGGCCGAACGTGTCCAGCACTGGGAAACAGTCCAAGCGCTCGCGCAAACAGAGAGCGCGGCGACCATCGAGGCTTTGCGAGCGCAGCTGATCGACGCTGCAGCTGCCCACGAGAGTGAGAGAGCGGCGTTGGAGGCGCGCGTGGCAGCCCACGCCATCGAGCTAACCCAGCTTTTGGAGGCAAAAGCACAGTTGGAAGCCAGTGTCCGGACGCAGGAAGACGCACTGGCGCAGCTGCACCAAGAGCACCATACGAATGGCTCGAGCTTGCAAGATCAAATCGAAGTGCTCCAAGACGAGCTGACGTTGCGCGTCAACGACGTGGAGCACCTACGCAGCGAGCTCGTTACGGCCACCGAAGAAAGCTCGGCACTGGAAGAAGAGTTGTACGAAGTGCGTGCGAAGCTCGAGGCCATGCACGACGCAACAGCCAGTGAAAAAGCCGAGCTCGAGGCCAAGGTGCTTGCGCTGGAAGACGCTGTCTCGACAAGCCACGCAGCATTTGCCAGCGCACGGGAAGAGGACTCGATCCAGCACAGCGAGGCCATGACGCACCTTGAAACAGAGATTGCTGCCCGTGACGCGACGATTCTCATGCTAACGACCGAGAGAGATGCACTTGTCCTGGCGCAGGACACCGCGGCCGAGGTCGAGTCGCGCTTGGCATCGTTACTGGCGGAAAAAGCAGCAACAGATGCCTCGCTCGCAGCGTGGGCCACCAAGGAAGCCGAGCTCGTCGACGCCGTGACCACCGCGCAAACGACCCATGTCACGTACAAGGCCGAGTCCGAGTTGGAGCTCAAGTCGCTGCACGAGGCGCTACAAGCGCAGCGCGATGCAACAATAGCGATCGAGGACGACCTGCGCCGCCTTGTGACTGAGCTTCGTCTGCCGTGTGCCGAGTCGGCGTCGCCGCTTCTGGCAACGCTGCAAAGCCACGTGGCTGAGCTCCAAGCAGCGCTTGACGACGCCAACGACGAGCGAGATGCGATTGTTTCCGCGCTCGACGTCTCGTCGCTCGAAGATGTGCCAGCCGCCGCGGCGCAGCTTCGACAGACATCAATGAACACGGTGCAGGACTTGGCAGCGGCCGAGAAGGCGCTGTCGCTGCTGCGACTAGAGCTCGACGCGCGCACCGCCGACCTCGAGGCGACACGGTCGTCCTTAATTCGCTTGGAAACCAGCGCGGCCGGAGACAAGGACGCGACGCTCGCAGCGCTGCAAGCCACCGAAGCCCAATGGACAGTCGAGCTGTCGCAGTCGAAAGCCGCACTGGCGCCGCTGGAGCTCGAGGTCGCCGCCAAAACGTGCGAGGTCGAGGCACTTCAGAGTCAAGTCGCGGTCGCCACCGCCGCTTTGGCGCGCTGCGAGAGTGAAATGAGCTGGCTCCTCCACGAAATCGCGGTCGATGTCGAGGCGCTGCGCGGCGAAGTCGACAAGCTCGAAGACGCCACCGAAGCCCACACGCAGACGCTTCTCGAATCCCAAGCCGCGCACGATGAGCAGTACAGTGCGATTGGGCACGCCCAAGACCGCCTAGAGGGTCTCCAGAGCCAGCTCCAGACGCTGCGGCAGCAAGTGGCTGCGGTGCCCATGCAGCTCTACCAGCTGCAGCATCTGCAGTCGTCGCTGACGACCGAAGCTGCAGCAGCCCACAAGCAGCGCGACGAGCACGAGAAGGAGCGGCTTCGCTTGCGCCTGCTCGAAGCCGAGTGCGCTGCGAACACGGAAGTCGCGTTCACCGAGCTCGCTGCTCTCTTTGCAGCGCATGGCGGCGACGCCACCCAGCACACCTACATTATGAAGACGATGTCGCATCTGCCGTCGCTGGCGGCGCGACTGCAGTCAGTGGCCGCCACGATTGGCACCATGACTGCGCACACGAACGACGCAAGGATACACGCAGCGGGCGACGACGCGTTGCCGACGCCGAGCGTTGCAGATATCGAAGCCCATCACGACAGCGGCGATACGGCACATGGACACGGTGCCGGCGCGACGCCGTTCCATCCGGCGGGTTCTCCAGAGGACGGAAATGACAATGACATTGACGAAGACACGATCGAAGAGCATTCGAAGGACGACAGTTCCGAGGCGCAAGCGCATGACGGGCCGGCATCGATGACGGCCGACGACGACGCCCCGTTCGACATGCACGGTGCGCCGAACGATGACGACGATGACGTCATTGACGACGTCGACGACGACGTGCAGGAAGAGAGTTCAGACGACGACGAGACACACGGAGGTGACAACGCAGCGTGTACATTGCAGCCACGTATCCTGGTACCCGAGGCATCACTGGCCGCTGGGAGCGCGCATGAAGACGGTGACGAGGCACCTCATCCTCAGCACGTACACTCGGCGGCATTGATGGACGAAGCGGTCGTCGATGAAGAGGAGGCACCCGAGGCATCGTTGTGCGGCGTAGAAGTCGCGACGGGACCTGCACCGACCGCTGGCAGCAGCAACGACGCAGAGAAAACCGAAATCGCCGGCCACGCAGTGTCTCCCGAGTTGCGTCACGACGCGCTCGACGCTGAGAGCAATGCCGAGCTATCTGATGACTTTGACGCAGACGACAACGCGCCGGAAACCGCTACGGATAGCACCACCAACGGCAAGGCGACGGACCTGGCGCCTCCACCCGAGTACGAGGCAGACGTCGTGCCCGATGCGATCGCGACAGAAATCGCTCTCGAAGTCGACCACGAGAGCAGCAGCGACAGCGAGGAGGAGTACGCGCAGGCTGCTTGTTCCTCCGTCGCCGACCGACAAACAACAAGCGGAGTGTCGGCGGGACGTGTGCAAGCCGAGGTCGATGGTCATGCGGACGGCACCCAACGCTCGGCCACCGCCGTTGCGGGCCTTACGGCCAACGATGAGACCATCGACCGCAGTGGGTATCCCTCACGGGACGATGCGAGTGATGACGAAGTGCCTCTGCATCGGTATGCGGCCACTGCAGTGCCTTTGGCCGTCGGCGCAGCCGCCCTCGCAAGCTTGCGGTCGTCGGCCGGCTTCCAATCGACGGCCAACGACGCCGATGACGACGACGACGTCGAGCGCTTGATGCAAAGTCGCCTTTGCCCGGCGCTCGAGCCCGTCCGTGAAACCGATGACGATGACGAGTTTTCTTACGAGCCTACCGACGCGTTGGCACATAACGACGAGGACGACGACGCAGGGTCGACGCTGGACGAGGCCATCGAAGAGTCTTTTGATGACGCCGACTACGACGATGAAGATGTCGAGGTGACGCAAGGTAGTAGTCAACTGGTCACGTTCTGTTCCTTGACAAAAGCCATAGATGCCAACGTAGCGCTCGGCACAGATGTGAATGCATCGTTGGTCGAACCGCCTGCGACCCACGGACCACCGTCGCCCGAGTCGCCATCTCGGAGAAAGTCGATTCACCAGCTACTCTTTGGCACCAAGCCAGAGGCCGTTGCTGACGACGTTGACGCCAAGGCACAGGTCGACACCCCAATGACCTATGGCCCCGCCATCGACGCGCAAGAGGAAAGCGCCGAGTCGGAGGGCGACGACGACACGCATTTAGAGGACACAGCGGTGTTCTCGCCGGAGCATACAGCGTCGGCGGCCGCCAACGATGACTCCCGCACCCTTGACGAAGCGGTGGCCAACCATGATGCGCTTCTCGGAGTATCCGCATCGCCTGAGTATGCTGTCGACGCTGGCGACGCGCTTGCGAGCACGAACGAGCCGGAAGAGCCGGATTCTCCCACGGTTGCTCTCACCAGCGACGCCAACGACGCGTCGGAGGTCGATGAGATGGACGAAGTGTTGTCTGACGCTGACGAGTCGACGGACGACCATCGTTCGGCGGAACGTTCCAAGAACGCCCACTTGCGTCTGGACCTGGAAGCTGAGATGACGAACAAACACCGAATCCAACAACGTACCGATGACACGCCGGCGTCTAACGAGCGCGACACAACGAGCATCGCCCAGGCAGTGCCGTTGGACGGAGTCGACGACGTTCAGAGTGAGACTGGCAGCTTTGACGACGTCGACGACGACGATATGACCATCAACGCACGGACTGCGGAAGGCCAGATGCCAGCTCAAGACGAGCCAAACGACTACGTGGAAGCTCACAAAGAGGGACATGAACTCGACGACGCTACGGCAGTGCTCCGAGCTACGATGGCCAACGTGGCAACCACAGACACTTTGGATGAAGATGTGTCGTCCTCCGAGTCGGATGCGGACGAGGCGCCTGCGCCAAGCGAGGTGCTTCCGCACGCCAGTGTACAACCCACTGAGAGGTCGGTGCTCCAAGCTACCGACGGCGATGCGTCCGACGAGGAAGAGGTGATGGCGCCGGTGTTTCAGCAGTCGGCACCAACGAGCGCGCGTGCGACTCTCGCGTCACTCCGCCGGGCCGTTGACAGCGACGAGGACGAGTTGGACGACGAGACGCCTCGTCGGCCGACCGCGACTGGTGACGACGACGACTCGTTCGACATGAACGACGCGATGGCGGGTGTAGCCCACAATGGCAGCACCGCGACTGACCACGTCACCTACGAATCGAGGGATGTTGACACGCTAGCCGCCGACAACTCGTTCGATATGGAGTACGATGATGATGTACCCGAAGACGACTTCGACACGGCAGAAGATCACGGCAGCAGTGACGACGAGGGTAGCACTACGACCCCTGAGTTGCAGCCGCTCGAAGTGGCGGCAGCCGTGATTGCAGCCACAGAGACGTTTCAGGAGGCGCCGCTTGCACAGTGTGCCTCCAACGATGAGCACGATACGTCCTCTCTTGCGACCGACCATTCCGCACCGACGGTGGCTGGCGGTGACGCATCCTTGCCACACGATGTCAGCGCAGCAGCCGACAAAGTTGCCGACGACGAGGGCTTCTCGGACGACGAAGCTCTCTCGGAAAATGAAGCCATGGAGCCGCAGGTGGACGAAGCCCAAGAGGCTGAGCACCACATCTCTGCTACGATCGACGTTGATTCAAAGCCATTTGCGGACACACCGCTCGCTGCAACCACGCGCACAGTCCACGCAGATGTGTCGGACGATGTCGACGAGGTGGAGCGGTTGATGCACAGTCACTTGCACCGAACGACCGCTGACGACTCTTTCGATGCTGATGACGACGACTCCGTGGCCGAGACCAGTCAACGATCGCCCGCGCAAGAGAGCGCTGAGATGCAGATCGGAAGTCTCGCAACTCAAAGTACGCTGTTTTCCGAGCGTCATGACGACAACGGGGACGGCAGTGACGACGACGAGCCGCTCTCGGACCCGGAGGACGACGTCGGTGACGAAGATGACGAGCCACTCAACGATTCGATGCCGTTGTCAACGCACACGGACGTCGCGCCCCTCATGTCGGAGACAGCCGCGATGGCAGAGACCAAGACATTGGAGCTGCCGATGACCACCGCATCGGTGGGCAACGACGAGACACGCGAAACGCCCGCGCGTGGGACCGCTGACGTGGCGCCACTACAAGTCACGCACGAATACGACGACGCGGAAGAGCTCTCGTCCAGCGACGATGAAGACGGTATGGACGAGTCTATTGAAGCAAGCGAGGACGATGCGATCGCTGACATGGCGGCGGGTGCATTGGTCGAGCCTTCAAAGGCGGCGGCCCCGCTGGTGTTTGCAGCCCAAGAAAATGGTGCGCAGCTAGCCGAAGAAGCTGATGACGGCGAAGAGGTCGCGGTGGCCGTCGCCTCTCGTTTTGGACTCCCCGAGATGCATGACCGTGACAGCGGCTCCGATACCGAAGACGAGCCGGCCGTTGACCACAAGGACGCGTCATATGGCGCAGACGCTGCGATGGCGACCGCGCTGCCATCGGCGTACGTGGCATCGTCTCTTGCTCAACCTCGCGACGTGTCTTTGGAGACCGACGCCATCGAGCGAAATGATGAGCAGCGGAACAGCCATGCCGACGATGACCACGACAACGCGTTCGACTTGGACGACGAAGGCATCGACGACGTTGACCGCCTTGCCGATGCAGATGATGAAGAGCCCGTTGAGAATGGCTCTCATGCCGTGGACGAAAGGGCTCAACCACTGGCAACGGCTCGATTCGATGGCGACGAAGAAGTGTCGGACGACAACCTCGAGACCTCGGACGACGATGAAGACACTTTTGATGCGTCGAAGCACGTACTGGAGCCACCTTTGACGGAGGCCCGCGGTGATGACATCTCATTGGCGTCCTCCGTCGTCGACAACGGTCTCTCTGATCGTGTCAGCACGCGTCACTTGGACAACGACCACGAGCTGTCCGATGCCGATGAGCAAGAGCTGTCCGACGACCAAGCTGACACTGGTTTGGACGCTTTGTCTTCTCTGGCACGCGACCACGCTGCTGGGGAAGAATACCAGCTGGTGGCTTCAGTGACGTCGCTGCAAGACGATCATGCGATGCAACGCGCTACCGACGACGATGACGAAGCCTTGTCAGACCCAGAAGACGATGTTGCTGAAAACACCTTCGACGAACCAACCGAGCCCATGACGGCAGTAGCGGGAATTGACCGTGGCGCCGGTGCACCTTTGACGCAGCTGCACGACGCTAGAGCTGCAACATCAGTTCGGTTGAGTGCCGATGACGAAGCGTTGTCAGACAATGAAACCGATGTCGGCGCTGACCACCACGAGACGGCTGTATTGCCCAAGAGCCCTCTCGTTGCTTCGGCTAGTCATCACGAATCTACCTCAACCACCCAGCTCCACGATGAGACGGAGGGCTGTCAAGTCACTGAGACCCACGCCAACACTAACGACGAGAACGATGACAGCGACGAAGCGCTGTCCGATGTCGAAGACGGTCACGAGACGTTGGACCCCCGCTTCAGTGATGCCGATGACGCGTCACACCTCGGCACGGAAGCCCTTCATGACACTACCTCTACTACTGCGCCCAACGCCACAGCGACGGCACCGATGCATGTCGGTGACGACTGCGAAGACGCGCTGTCCGAAGAGGAGAGTGCCAATGACTTTGACAGCGGCTTTGACGCACCGACACTGCAGAGTCCACCAGTGGAGACGCGGATGCGCCTGCATGACGCCCCGGTGTCGCCCGACGTCACCGCAACGCGAGATCCGATGGTCGGGGGGAGCCCCCAGATGGAGGACGACAACGACGATGCGCTGTCAGAGGTCAACCACAACGCCGATGAGGTGGACGACGGCGAAAGCAGCTTCGATGCGGTGGTTGCCGCGCCATCAGCTGCCCTCGATGGAGCAGAGCGCCACGATACCCTCGCGACAGACCGTCATGACGTCATGCGTCCAGCAGTCGCGTTCCAGTTTGATGACGAGGATGAGGCGTTGTCAGACCCCGAAGACGACGGGGAGGTAAATGACAACAGCTTTGATGCCCCAGCCAGGACACCGGACGAGCCCCAACAGTCATCCTCTGAGATCCATGCCGATGCCACGGCTGACCGTCATGACGTCATGCATCCGGGTGCTCAAACGTCAACTCACTTTGATGACGCGGACGAGGCGCTGTCGGACCCCAAAGACGACGTTGACGGTATCGACGACAGCTTTGACGCGCCGATGGTGACGGCGGACGAGCCACGTGCGCCTTCGTCAGAGAGCAACGACAACACCGCGAAGGACCACCAAGACGCCATGCGTCCGGTAGCCGCGTCCCCAACGCACTTTGATGACGAGGACGAAGCGTTGTCGGATGCGGAAGGCGATGCCAGTGGTATCGACGGCACCATCGATGCACCGGTATCGACGACAGACGAGCTCCGTGTGCCTTCTACAGAGAGCCACAACTACTCAACAACGAACCGTCACGAAGCTGGTCGCCCGGTTATCCAGCCGTCAACCCACTTTGATGACGAAGATGACGCGCTGTCGGGTGCCGAAGACGAGGTCGATGGTGTCGACAGCGTCATCGGTGCACCGGTGGCGTTGCCAGACGAGCTCCATGTACCTCCCACGGAGCGTCAAGGCAGCCCCGTCCATCATGAAGCCGCACGCCCGGTTGACAAGCCGTCAGCGCACTTTGATGACGAGGACGAAGCGCTGTCGGACCCTGAAATCGTTGTCGATGGTGTCGACAACACCGATGACGCCAAGATGACGAGCGAGCCACATGTCTCATCGTCAGAGAACGACGGCGATTCTACGATGCACCGCCAAGAAGTCGCGTCTTTGGTTGGGCAAACGTCAGCACACTTTGATGACGAAGACGATCCGTTGTCGGGTGCCGAAGACGATCCGTTGTCGGGTGCCGAAGACGATCCGTTGTCGGGTGCCGAAGACGAGGTCGAAGGTGTCGACGACACGGTTGATGACCCACTGGCGACGCGGGGCGAGCCACTTGGGGCTTCCGCAGAGAGCCATGCCGCCTTTGCCGCGACCGACCGTCATGAAGCTGTGCGTCCCGGTATCCAGATGGCAACCCACTTTGACGACGCGGACGAGGCACTGTCGGACCCCGAAGACGATATTGCTGGTATCGACAACAGCTTTGACGCGCCGGTGGTGACGACAGACGAGTCGCGTACGTCTCTTACAGAGACGCAGGACAACCGCGCAACGGACCCTTACGACGTCATGCGTCCGATGGTCACATCCTCAACCCATTTCGAAGACGCGGACGAGGCGCTGTCCGACCCCGAAGACGAAGACTTGTCGAACCCCGAGGACAATGGGGATACCATCGACAGCAGTTTCGATGCACCAACGATGCCCCCGCACGACCTTCGTGCCTTGTCAACAGGTATGACCGGCAATGCCCTCTCGAACGGGCACATCATTGACAATCGCGCGTCATCGCCCATCATGGAAAGCCACCCTATCGATCACGACGGCGGTGACGAAGCGTTGTCCGACCCTGAAGATGACAGCTTTGGCGACGGTGAGCACGGCTCGAATGGCTTTTCCAAAGCACCGTCGCGTCCAACGCGCGCAGTTGGCAATTCCGTCGACGCCGATGCGCTGTCGGACGATGAATCTTTGGTGGACGCCACCGACATTTTGTCCAAGCAAGCCAATGATGCTCACGGACACGAACAACACTCGCCAGACAACGACCATTATGCACCAGTCGCTGCCTCCACAGCGATGGACGTCGGGCCGCAGGAGGCAGTGAGCACAGTCCCTTTGGCAACCTCTCGACACCATGATACATCGGTTGACGACGCCAGCGATGCGGACGACGACAATGACGTTTCGGCGCCGTTGCAAGGCGCAGACGCGGCGTCGATCGATGCTGCCAGCCGTCGACTGCTTACGACCGTGCACTACGACGACGCAGACGACTTGTCTTCGGAATCAGACGACGAGCAGCCAGCGGCACCGACCAAGTCGCCGCCGGTGTACGACGACGGCGGCGAAGATGTCTCGGACAGTGACGCGGACGACACATCGGCGCCACCCGCCCACAAACCGTCAATGGTCAACGAGCTTGCTCCGGCTGCCTCTACCTCGGCGATGGAAGATGAAGAAGACGACGACCATGAGACGGTCGAGACGCCATTGTCGGCCAGAGCGCCGATGGGTGGGCTGCCGCCCGTCACCGCTCGCTTTGGCACGATGGCCAACGCCCACGAAGCCGACGACGAAGACCTGGACGAGGTCGAGCGACTTATGCAAGGTCACTTGCAGGGCCGCGCAAATGACAACTCGTTCGACTTTGACGATGGCGAAGACATTGAGAATAGCTTCGACACGCCCGACACCATCGCGACGATCCCGCATGCTCACGCAGCAAATGACGACGGTGAAAACGAGCTATCGGATCCCGAAGACGACCCAGCGGAAGCCAACGTACCTTATCATGGCTCCCTCGGGCACGACACGGACCGAGCATCACCGGTATCGGCAGCGTCTCTGGGCTCCTTGAGCGTGCCACCGCCGACAGCGCAACATCCGACGCATACCAGCGATGAGCACGCTGAGCTTGACGACAGCGACGAAGAACTTTCCACGAACGGCGACGAACCGGCGCCTCGTCACGCACCCCACGCCGCGCCGCTCTCTCCGATCGTGTCGCAGCTGCCACAAGGCGCTTCGTCTCTCGGGCGGCTCGCGCCACTCGGTACCAAAGCCCCTCTGGCGGCGCTCCATGTCAGAGACACCGAGGACGACTTGGACGAAGTTGAGCGCTTGATGCGCGACCACGTGACGACACACGCGTCACTCGCATCGCGTACGGCAGCAGATGCCGACTTTGACGACAGCTTTGATGCCCAAGAGGCCTCTGTCGACGACGACGACAACGATGACGCGCTCTCGGACCCGGATGAGGCGGCGGCAGCGTTCAACGCCGTGCAACAACGCGAGGATACAGCCGGCAAGCGGATGCCATTGACACCGCTCCCAAAGACGCTTCCGCCAATGAGCGCTGCGCATGAGAGCTCGTTGGACGACGCGTCACCAAGCAAGTTGTCGGCGCTGGACCGAGCGCTGCTTCCATCCAACGCTGCGGGTGACGCTCGCCAAGCCCCCACGGTTCACCACGATGACGACGCAATGGAGCTCGGCGCGTCCTTTGACGACGGCAACGAGGATAGCCTCGATGCAAGCGGTGTCGCCGACCCCCCTCGGTTCGACGAAGGCGAGGACGTCGACGGGTCGAGCCGCGACGACGACGCCGCGTCATTATCGCCGTCGCCAGTAGCGCCACCGAGCAGCGCCCCACCCCACGACGACGACGACGCGTACTCGGATTCTTTCGATATGGAGGAGTCGATCGATGAAAGCATCGCGTCCGATGAGGACGCCACGTCATAGACCCGAGTTTTGTATCTAATCCAACCTCTGGTTCATCTCCAACGGCCCGAGATATACCCAGCGAAGATATACCGGTAGCAACGCAGTCGAACGGTGATGTCGGACAGAAGGCAAGTGGAACGTCAGACGGCAAGTGGAGCGAGCGGAGGCAAGTGGAACGCCGTCGGCGCCGACCTGCTATTTTGAGGGCGGTTGGTAAATTTAGCTGGCAGCGACAGTTGCAGATAGAAGGGTCGACCACGTTGAAGCGACACGTGAATGCGCGAGCGGTCCGATGGAGAACTATGAGAACCTCGGCACGATCGGCGAAGGGTACTTGGCCGTCATCTACTCGTGTCGCTGACCCGCTCGCGTAGCACGTACGGCGTTGTGCTCAAGTGTCGGCACAAGGAGACAGGGCAAATCGTCGCCATCAAAAAGTTCAAAGAGTCGGACGAAGACGAGCAAGTACGCAAGACTGCGATGCGCGAGATTCGCATACTCAAGGTACCCTTTGGCGTTGCTTATATGCTTCACGACGACGTTGGTAGCAACTCAAGCATGAAAACATCGTCAACCTCATCGAGGTCTTTCGGCGAAAAGGAAAGCTCTACCTCGTACGTCGACTCGAGGAGTGTCGCGTCCAACGCCCGTGTAGGTCTTTGAGTACGTGGAGAAGACGATTTTGGAAGAGATCGAGAAGAACCCCGAGGGCCTCGAGCCGCATGCGATCCGAAGCCTCATGTGGCAGCTCATACGCGCGATTCACTACTGCCACGAGCACAACATCATTCACCGCGACATCAAGCCCGAGAATCTCCTCGTCTCGAAAAACGGTGTCTTGAAGCTCTGCGATTTTGGCTTTGCGCGCACGTTGGCTGCGGCCGGCGCCAAGTACACCGACTACGTCTCGACCCGGTGGTACCGCGCACCCGAGCTGCTTGTCGGCGACGTCTCGTACGGGAAAGCGGTCGACATTTGGGCCGTCGGCTGCATGCTCGCCGAGATCACGACGGGCTTGCCGCTCTTCCCCGGCGACTCGGACATTGACCAAGTACGCAAGGCGCAATGTGTCCCTGCTTCCAACGTGCTCTCCTAGTTGTACCATATTATGAAGTGCCTCGGGCGCATTACGTCGCGGCAGCAAGAGCTATTTCGGAAAAACTCGCTCTACGTCGGCGTCAAGGTGCCTTGGTCTCGTTCTTGGCACTTCAAGTTGCGTGTTCTTAGCTGCCCGAAGTCACGTCGATCGAGACGCTCGAAGATCGATTTCCGCAGCTCGACAAGGTTGCCATCGACTTTTTACACCAAACCGTCCAAGACGAGCCATTGGACCGGTGGACGTGCTCGGAGCTGCTCAAACATCCGTTTGTCGCCGAAGGCGCCGAGCTCTTTGAGCAGCAGCTCAAGATCAACATCGCCAAGGACATGGCCGACAACGTGATCAAGCCCAAGCGCGTACTCCTCATGAACCCGCCGCACCCACACTAGAATCGCGTCTCGTAGATGAAGAAGCTGCCGCGGCGAAGCAGCGACATGGCACCGCCCTCATCATCCTCGTCGTCGAAACCGCCGAAGTCCAAGCACTCCAAGGCTTCGGACGTGCCACGTACACACCTCTCGTTGCCAGCGCAGCATTTTTCCATCATAGAATCGCTAGGCACATCCAGTCGAGGAGGCACGGACCGGCTACTGCCCAACCTCGGGGCCACGGCGCCTGTCACGCCGCTCTCCAGCCTTGCCTACGTGTGTTTGGAAGACGCCAACAATGGTACGGACTTTGAACGGCAACGGCGCGTTACATGTGCGCGTTAGCGGTGATTGAATACACAAGCCGGAAGATCAAGCGGGCGGCGGACGTAAGAGCTTCTTGCCCATGAGTCGAATGTTCATGACGTACGGCATAGGCTGAGCCCGCACTGCACATACCCGAAGATGCGGCACTCTTGATCGAGCAGCATACCCACTCCCGCCTCTCAGTCACGTCCCACGGCGAGCGCCTCCGGTCGCTGCCCAAGAAGGTGCTGACGAAGCGCGCGGTCATTGGCCTCGAGCTCAAGCAAAAACCAAAGCTCGGGCAAACGCCGCCACGAACGCCGCAGTCGTCGTCACGAAGGGAGCTCCGTGGGTTCTAGCGCCATAGTATCGAACAACACATATATATAGAGCATCATCTTAGCGGCGGAACGTGCTTCCTACATATGGAGGCGCTTTCGCATCTTCGAGAAATGCAGCGAGGCGGTTATAGCGGCTTACGGCCTCGGCTGAAAAGAGACCACCCATTTTGATCTGGCCGCATCCAATGCCGATGGCCAGGTCCATCGGAAATGGATCGTCCGACGCACTTGCATCGCAGCCGACCATGAGGGCGATGCCGAGCACGCGCGCTTGGGCAACGACGTGGAGCACTTGGGTGACAGTTAGAAACTATGCGCTCAGAGTTAAGCCGATAAGCAATCGGTCGGCGGCGGTTCGAACCTCGCCGAGGTTGAGCAAGATCGTGTTGCAAGCGCGCTCTTCGTGAATGGTCTCGACACCGCGCTGCAGGAGTTTGTGACCAACGACTTGGAGTTTGCACTGTCCGTCGCCGCCGATGGCGGTCGTGTCGGTCGCTTCGCCTTCCGCGATCGTGTTGATCGTACGGTTGAGCGTGCTGCACACTTTGATGTCCCGACTTTCAAACGGGTCGACGATCGTCGTGATGGCGTACGTCTTGACCCACTCGCGAATGAGCTCGGAAAATTCATCGCTAAACAGAAATCGACTAGAACCCTGCTGCTGCAAGTAGACATCTACCTTGTCTTGGGCACGCTCTTGGGCATGGGCATCCATTTGTCAATGTTGTACGTGCAGCTGTCGTTATCGGGCGACGCGAACGCGTGGGCAGCAATGTCGATCCCGAGGCCAAGCTCAATCTGTTGGGTGGGGAGTTTGAACTGATCCTTGACTTTATGAAGCGCTTCGGTCGAGATCGTGAGGCATTCTTCGACCGACATGAGCTGGGGGGTGAGCCCCCCCGAGGCCCCCCGGTTCGAGTGGCCGTTGCCTTTGGCGTCGAGAAGCTCCTTGAGCGTCAAGAGAACTTCGCCCGCATAGCGCAGTGCATCTTGGAACGACGCGCAGCCCATCGGCATGACAGTGATCTCCGACACACAGAGCTTATTGGATGCCATGTTGCCGCCGTTGAGAAGGCTAAAGATCGGGACAGGCAAGCACGCACCTAGCAACATGCATGAGAAAGAGTATTGAAGAAGAGCGTTGTCGTTGTACTTTCAATGGGCACATCCGCAAGGGACGCAATGTACTCGTACAGAGGCTGGTCCTTCTGGGCCGCGCCGGCCTTGCAGATTGCCATTGAAAGTGCAATGCACGCTTGGCGGCCCACCTTGTCGGCCATGGACGCGATTTTTTCGTCGCAGTCGGCTTGATCGCAGGGATCCATGCCCTCGAGGAGATGCTGCATGTACAACGAGACGTCACGCGCACGCAGCCCATGCCCGCGGTACCGCGAGGCGTCGTCCGAGTCGAAGAGCCCGGCGGTCGCACTGCCGGTTGAGGCGTCAAAGCGGCCTCGCCCGGTATGCACACTCGCAAGAAGCGTCGGATACCCGGACGTGTCGACTACCTCCTTGGCCGAGACGGCAAAGATGCCTTTGTTGGACATGGCGCGGTTCTGGAGCAGCTTCCCGAGCACAAGGTACGGGTCCGAGGGCCGGTCGCGGACGACTTGGTTGAGGAAGACGTTCAAGGAGCTCTCGAGTCCATGCTGCGCGAGGTACTCCTCGATAAGGTCCTTCTCGGCGACTTCCTCTGGGTTGCTAACCACGCTGGTCGCGCTCGCTGTTGGCGCTGGCGCTGCGGTCTTGTCCTTCTTGGCCATGGCGCGATCTTTTTCCAAATCTTTGAATCCTATTTAGGACTCGACACGTGGTGGTGGTCAGGATATCCTAGATAGGAGTTATCCGAAAGTGCATTTGGTGGCGGTTCTCGAGAGCGTTCCTCACTGCAGCGCCGCCACAAGACGTAGATATATAGTACCGCGCAGAGTGTATAGTAGTTGTAGCGTAGTTGTGTGCGACGCTAGAGCACGCGGGCTTCCGTTAATCGCGTACAGTTCTGGACGCGAGAAGGATGATCCATGGAAGTGTTGCAATTGCTTCGAGAATCGACCAATCATTGCCTGCTGATTTCATTTGCGACACAAAAGCGGCATCAAATGACCAATCATAACGCTGTATTTGAAGCGACACATTCCATGGCTCTTTTGCGCGTCGATGATTGGTCAAATTGAGGCGCTATGTCGACATGTGATTGGACAAAACTTTCAATCCGCCGAATTCACCTTTGGGTTGCCATTGCCGCAAATAAGCTCCAGAAGCCAAGAAGCCGAGACGACCAATATGGCAATGTACGACGTCGACCTACGCGGCTGCAGGAGGCTCATCTCTGCGTAGCCTCTGCTGCATGTGCGGCATCTCGATCGAGCCCAACCTCGCCAACATGTGCGTGGCCTGCCTCTCGAACGAGGTCGACATCACCGACGGTATCACGAAGGAAGGCGTCTTGATCCAGTGCCGTGGCTGCCTCCGCTTCCAGCGCGGCGCCAAGGGCAACGACGGCGCGTTCGCCGAGTGTCCGCTCGAGTCGCTTGAGCTCATGACGCTGTGCCTCAAGAAGGTCCAGGGTCTCGGCCGCGACGTCAAGCTCATGGACGCCAGCTTCATCTGGACCGAGCCCCACAGCAAGCGCATCAAGCTCAAGCTCACGATCCGCAAGGAGGTACCGTCTCTCTCGTTGGCTACGACACGATCGCATCTACCGGCGTAGGCCATGCGCAATGCACTGCTGCAAAAGTCATTTGTCGTAACCTTTGTCGTCGAGAACCTCAAGTGCGCCGACTGCTCCAAGCAGTACCGCAACAACACGTGGCAAGCGCTCGTGCAGATCCGCCAAAAGGTCCACCACAAACGCACGTTCCTCCACCTCGAGCAAATCATCCTCAAGCACCAAGCGCACACGCGGAGCATTGGCATGGCGTCCGAGAAGGATGGCATGGACTTCTTTTTTGGCGAAAAAAACTCGGCCGAGCGCTTTGCGTCGTTCTTGAGTCAGCACGTGCCGCTTCGGTACGTTCCTATGGACGCACCGTATGCTCATCGCCTGCAGGACCAAGATCGCCCGCAAGCTCGTCTCGACCGACAACCACAGCAACACGGCCAACGTCAAGCTCACGATCGTCGCCGAGATCGCGCCGCTCTGCAAGGACGACCTCGTGATCCTCGAGAAGCGCATGGCGCAGCAGTGTGGCATGTCGGTCGCCGTCGTCTCGCGCGTCACGACCCAGATCCACCTACTCGACCCGCGCACGTGTCGCCGGTACCTAAATTTTGCCTATTTTCCGAGGATTTTCACCCAATTTTCCATGGTATTAGGTCGGAGGTCACCTCGGACAAGTACTGGAAGCACCCGTTCCAAGCGCTCGACACGGGCGCGTCGATGGTCGAGTTTATCGTGTTGGACGTCGAGCCGCTGGATGCGGCCCCGAAGGAGACTCAGGACAGCGCCGACCTGCTCGCGGTGATTGAAGTCGCGCGCGTCTCGGACTTTGGATTCAACGACACGACGTTCCACGTGACGAGCCACCTCGGGCGGTACCTCTCGGCTGGCGACACGGTCAAGGGCTATGACCTCGGTATCTGCAACTTTGGGTCGTCGCAGTTGTACCACCTCAAGGACGAGCTGCCGGACATCATCCTTGTCCGCCGCGTCTTCCCCAAGAAGGAAAAGGAAGGCAAGCGCCAAGAGCGCAAGAAGCTGCGCTGGCAAGCGAAAGCGAAGGCGAGTGCCAAGGACCGCGAGCGCGAAGAAGAGGAGTTTGAGGCCTTCATGGACGACTACGAGGAAGACCATGCTGGCGACGACGCCGTGGCGACGCCGCTCCTCGAAGTGTCGGACGCTGACGACGAGGACGAGGCCATCGACGCTGACGACGTGGCGTTCGAGGACGGCGAAGAAGGGCTTGCGGACGAGGCCAAAGTCGCTGCGTAAGAAAAGAACGTTCCGAGAAATGGTAGCATGTATATGCAGCGAATCGCAGTTGGTTTGGACAATATTGGTATTACCAGCCGTACTTGGCTTGGGTTTCGCGCTTGGACTTGAGCGCGAGCCCTTTTTTGTCCTGCAGATCGAATTCGCGCAGCTTGGCGTCGAACGTGAGCTGGTTGAGCTGATGGCGCTGCCGCTGGAGTCTACGCCCAAGATACGTGGCTGTCGCATAAGAAATGAGAGGTACCTCGAAGGGCGGTACGACGCAACGACGTAGCCATTCTCTGTCTCGGTGCCCGCCATTTCGGCGAGGACTTGGGCCTAACGCAGGACGAGTCGAGTCGCGTCCTCGAGGCAGTGGTGTAAGGCGTACTTCGCGATCGCTGGCAAAGACGGTCGAGCCATCGATTGGCGGCTTCCACGCGCCTGGCGCGGCGGCTTGGACGTCAACGACCTATCCTTGGACGTGCAACGCTGCAGCAAAAAGAGGAGGTGGATGAACCTGTCCAGCGACCGCGTCAAACTTGCCTTGCTGGAGCATGCGCTCGAGTTGGCGTTCCTTGTTGCGCACGCGCTTGCTCTATGCGGATTAGCGTTCGGGAGGTGCACGATGGCGGTAGGCTAGTACCTGCACGTGCTCGGCGTCGTCGCCATCGTCTCCGTCGTCGTCCAGCGTCGGTACGTAGAGGTGGGAGGCGGCAGCGGCCTGCCCGACGGCGCTCGCCGAGGAGGCGTCGTGCTGCACCTACATCATACGTAGAGTCTTTCCGCGGCGTGTTGGAGCGGTCTGTACTGGCGGAAGCGGCTTTTTGACTTTCGGTGACGGCGGCGATGGCAGCGCGACCTTTGGGGCGGGGAGGAACCCGAGGAGCCCCGTCGTGTCGGGCGCCTCGCGCGCCACAGACCTCGGCGCAGCTTTGGCCTTCTTCTTTGCCGGGCCAGTGTGATGATCGTCGTCGTCCGAGTCGTCGCTGTTGAGAGCCCGACCGCTCTCCAAGAGCTTCTGCATCTCGGGCGGCAAGAAGAGCACCGTTCGCTTCTTCTTGGCCTTGGGCTTGGCCGGCGCCACAGCGTGGGCTACAGGCTTGGCCACCGGCTTGACCGTCGGCGGAACCACCGGGACAGCGACCGCCATCTCGTCGCTGCTGCTCGCGTCCGAGTCGGA